CATAAAAAATATGAAGTCATTCAAGTCATACATTATTTTGTGCTTTGCTGAATTGTATTTATCACAAATGTTATAAAATATCAGCGTGGATAATGCGCGTTATAAAGCATCAGAGGAGGAGAAACGAAGAGAACCAATTGTGAAATTTGGCTTTGTGTGTTTGAGGACAATGCCCCGTGGTCAGGGATTGCAACACAATCTCATCCGATCTTTGATGTTGAAAGGAGCGAGTTGAGGGCTGCATCGCAGATTTTTAAGGTATAAGCTGCATTTTTTTCCCCAAAATTAACATAAGCATAATCAAGTTCCTAAGGCTGCAATCCACTTTGTTTACACTAATGCACAAACTCTGTGGAAGTACAATGCCTCAACTGTAGAAAGGTCGTTTTTACGGCTACGCATAAAGGTGTAGCAATCGAGTCCCACTTTCACGACTTTCTACCCCAACCACAGTGCCATCACTACCACCACTCGGCCTGCTTTTACCACCAAGGCCGAACCCACCACCAGCCCTCTCGGTGAGATAATAGGCTCTCGTGCCTTCTGTGGTGATGCTGTTGCTGCTGCAGGTCATGTGAGAATGGGCATGCGCCCATATTTCTGCTCAATGTGACCGCTTTGTGGCACCTCCAAGCAATTGGACAGGGTAACAAATTTGTTAGGTTAACATTACAATTTAGTCAGGGATGATGTATTTAATTAACCTTCCAAGTGCAATATTGGCTGATTCCTCATAATGCTCTTTCTCTACACTCTCTCATACATAAAAATGAAACCAAAATGCTTGCTCAGCCATTTGAGATATCCTGATTCCTATAGTTTTCGCAGTCTATGCCCGTGTTAATTAGGTACAAAATACTGTGAATAATCGAGCATAAAAAACACTTTTTGCATAATATTAAATCAAAGCGTTGGGGCTTCTTGAGTAAAATTTGCTGCAAATTTTAGAGTTGATCAATTTAGCAGCGCATCTTCCACTTCTCAATGGAGCCTTGATTGGCATGACATGCTGTATCCTTCGCCAATGTTTGACCTCTGAACTTCGGAATTCATTCATTGATAATATACTTTTTATTTTAAAAACTAATCAAGCAATCCATGCTGGTGAGTGAAACGCACTTAATTTTAAGAACAAGTGGTCAATGTCATCTGGCTAAACCTTTTCAGGCGGCCTCGGGCAAAAAAGTTTAATTAAATCTTTTTTTGCTCTCCAACAGCATTACCGCACTTATATCTCTCTAAAAATTGCAATATTTATGTGAGATTATTTAGTAGACAATGAAAAGGCATTGCTCATTTCAGAAATACTCTCAAATGCTTCTACCCACGTTTCATGTGGAGTACTTTGACTGTTTGTTTTACTCTTCGGTTTGGTTTCGCTGACATTTAGGGGTCCACCCTCGTACTTCGCCCGGCCCTTCTGTACTTCGATAGTACTCTGATTTCTTTTGTCTTCAAAGAAGATTCTGGGCGCTATACGCAAATAATTCCTGATTCATTCCAGAGTGTAATGCGAATTTACCATGTAAAATTTAAGATTTTATAAAATTTAACTCATTTTGAACATATGCAATCTTAAATTACACCTACTATTTCTCGTTACCAAGATTGTGGGGAGGTGACATTTGAAACGGTTTAAGGAGAAATAAATCAAATCAATATTAAGTAATATCACGATTACTGGAATGTCATTTCCGCCTATTCAGCTGAAAGTTTGAAAGTCCTACTCGAGGCACGAGATACTCCGAATAGGGTGGTTTTCATACTTCAGTCGACCCGTTAACAATGCAAGTCGAGGCAGCACATCCCAATTCTTCTTTTTAACCTTTACGCATAAGATGAGGTTTATGAATAACTGAAATTCGGACAAATGAGTCCATCCACATGCTTTAGATAAACTGGCTAATATAAGATTAATAAAAATTGCATTCAGGCTTATACACCACACCATTTGCTGATAAGTTTTTTAGAATTTCCTTGTCCTTCAATAGCTCGTTTTGTGAATATTTACTGTAGCAATCTTTCGGTCATCCAAACTTTCATAAAAAAACGTAAATGTGACAGAAATCTTCAGAAATACAACTGTAAATCTTTTTGTATTGACCTGTTATAAGATCAGTACCTTACACCTTTTGTGTCAACTGATGACATGAAATTCACCACGATTTCCGATGAGATCCAGCGTTAAATGCATGTGATGCCTATTTCGAAGGTTGGACTGAGCAATGCCAGGAGCATGCTACAAAGAGCAGGTATAGTCTCGAATATTTCTTGTGAGATTTGAAGGATGGGTGAATGGATAAAATTGCCCCCTGTGTTGAATTGTAACCATATTATTTTGTTTTAACAGTTGTTAAGACTCTTACGTTGCATCTAGCTGCCAATATTAACGCAACGAGTTTATAATGGCACCACTGCCCAAATTGTCAACGATGACCCACATTGTTCCAATTTCCCCGCCATATATGAAAATCTCATATGCCAGTAATAGTTTTTCCTTTGAATGAATTTTTTAATTTTGTTAAGAAATTTTGTTCACAAATTTGTTTGCTAGTAAAATATGTTATTTAATATCTTATTTTCTCCACGAAGGTAGCGAATCTACATTTCAATGGTTCGGTTTTTGCTTTAATGTGAATCTAATCACACAGATCCTCGTTGGCCTCCGTTTCAACTACCGTCCTGGCGGGATCGCTGGAAAATTATGCATATTACCTCTCAGTCCTTCGACAAAGACACAGAGCCCAACAATGCGATGCCTTCTTTAGGGCACTCAAATATAGCTTATTAGTCTTTTTTCATGCACCGTGATTTTTATGCCCGTTGTAAGGCTGAATTAAAGCAGTCGAATGAATGGTACATGTAGCGATTTGGTATTTAGTTTATTAGTGTGTTGAACCCCACGGGCAACTCAGTTGCAGCAGGATGTACTCCCACTTAGCGATGTAGTTTTCGGGGCATGCTAATAGCTTCCTAGATCTTCTGTACGCTAGTAATGTATACTCTGCCATCTTAATTTAGACTATTACAACTCTGGAGAAGAGTCGGGGCGCTACATAGGTGGGTAATTATTTTGCAGTTCGAATTTTAGGCAACAATCTTTGCGTGGGTTCTAACGTTCTCCTACTCTATAAAATTAGTTAGAAGCCATTAATAGTTCTAGAGTACAATGAAGCTATGTGTCTAGGGCTGATTCTATGCTTTAAATCAATGAATATAGTATTTGAAAGCCGTTCCATCAGCACCCAAAACTAATACTAGTGTTTAAACCTCACAATCACAATTTGAGTCTATCCATATTCCGTGGGCAGTGAAAACTTATGTGATGTTGATTCAATGGGATTCAGCCACTAGAGGTAATTACCATTATGAAAGTTATGGGGATACCTAATTCCGTCATTAACGGAAACCTAGTGAGTATATGGAGTCACCCAAACATTACTATATGTATCAGCTGCAGACTTCAAAGGGGTAACGGGTTGACCAGTTGGGTTTCTGATACATCCGACGCAAAATTATCCCCTCACAACCAACTGGATTTTCCTCCGTTCATTTTATTTGGACAAGCTCCTGTTGATTCTCATAATGTCCATATCAAGTCACCCCTCTAAGAGTTGCATTTATTTTTAGTTAATATGAGAATTGACTTCTCCTCATCTTTAAACCGTGTTAAGTTTAAAGTGGTTTAAACGACTAGGACTTAACCTAATCTTCAACCCAGATAATATCTTCAAATTTATTTTATACACTGAGGGTTAGCGAAATCCCGTTAATCCCTAACTTATCGGTCATTTATATCGGTCCTATTGGTGATTTTTTAGAAGAATAATGCACGTGTTTTAACTTAGCCTTTGGAATATATCGGAATCGCAGTAGGATAAACGCTTGTTTTTTTTAAAAAATAACCTACCATCTCAAAGCAGGAAGACATCTTCGTGCCAATGGAGTTTAAGCGATTGATGGATCAGAAAACCTTCGCTTTTCAAATACAACTGTTGAGAGAGTTAAAGTAATGTGTCGATGGATTTGCCTTCCATGGTTTCGATCACTCCACAGCTGAAAGCGTAATGCACTCCTGATAAATGGTTATAGCTTATTGGAAGAAAGTGAAAAAAGGTAAGGAGCTAGATTTAATTAGATGATCTCGGTGATTGTTGGAACACGTAATATCAAGCATACCACTTTTGCTGCCGGTTCAATAGATTGAGCCTTGCGGCTAAATCAGGCTTCATCGAGCCTACTCGTGCTCTGAATCTTAGGTTATCCATGATATCACAGGAACGGTTTAATCTAGAAAATCTGGTTATTATAATTGCTAATAATAAGTTGCCCCACAGATACGGACTTGAGAAACCTCAAGATGCAACTAAGACTATTAAAATTATAAGGTTTCCCCAAACAGTTTATAGGTTTACAAATAAAGAGAAAACAAGGACAAATGTGTGGAGCGAACGGAAAGGCTGCTGGATAAGAGGCAGTTGTGATGTGAGGACAAATGAAGGCAGTGTTCAGGATTTAGAAATGATTAGATTTAACATTAGAAAGTAGCACTTTCGTCAGTTTTACTTAAGTAGAGTGTTTTAAATCTTTTACCGAGTGACAATCACAGAAAAATTATTCCTGCATTTTACGCCAAAAACGATAGCACAAATATAGCAATTTGGTATTTTATTTGGCATAGCAGAAATCCGCTCCTTCATCATGGCTCTTAGGACGTGAGAACGTCTCAAAGATCTCCCACAATTTCGTAACATATACTTAGCTTTGATGAATCACGGCTTCAACGAAGACTCGGGGAAATATGCAGCTTCTATTCCTGCAGACCAAAACATCAAATCAGATGAACAATAAATTCGTGCATGATTAAGTGTTGATCTAAATTATTTAAAACTTAAGAAATTTTAATAACTTGCAAATAACTTTATTTGCGCTTAATTACATGCTAAATTGTTTTAAATAGCTTGAGGGCAGCGCTACTTCAAATAATCGCGGAGTTAAGTATGAGCCTCGGGGGTGCTTTGGGTAACGAGGTGCACCTTGTAAAAGGAAATGTTTCCTTTTATGAGGAGACTCGACTTCTAGATAAGGGAAAGCTTGTAGTTAAGGAGAGGTAGGTCATTGTACTTGGGATGCTTTACTTTGTAAGCTCATATTGCCGATTAATACTAGTCGTTTATGTGATTTTATGTGCAGCTCTGTAGATTGGGATGGCGAAAATCGCCACTTTTCCCTGCTTTATCCCAATATCTGTCTTCATGCTGTTAGTCGTGATCCCTATGGTGGAGACGAGAATGTTAAGTTCCCTTATCCACACGTCTTCCTCATGGTTGATGGGGAACGAGTTTGGTCGAACGGCGAGCCTCCACTCTCCGGCCATGGTGATAACGGAATGGAAGTGGATGACGAAGGTTAGTGCAACTTGTCCCCTTCGCAACTCACATGAAACCACGCCGTGGATATAGCGCTTGGAATTATGGTTGGTATGAGCTTCGTGGCTAGTTTGTTAGTACGTCTGCAAATCACATTTAGAAAACAGTGATGAAGAGGATGGAGTCTATGCTGCTGACGAAGAGAAAACTACCTTTAATCTTCGTTTTGTTCCGGCTGATCAACGTGACTTAGACGACCTCTACACTGCGATCGCGGAATGCCAGGCTCTGAACCCTGATCCAGAAGACTTATCCGAAGATGAACTTGGGAGCATCCATGATGATGAGGATGGGAACGATGGTACTTGCCCACTCTTGTGTTGATACATCACTAATATCTACAACTCAACATATTCCATGCATTCTACTTTCCTCCTTGTCGTCCATCTTTACGCGCGCACCTAAGCGACTAATATAACGTCAGCAATCTGTGGGACATCCCTTCCGCTGCTTGCACTTTATGCATTTGAACTAACTGGGGCATTACTTTGTATTTGTTATAGGAGACGACAACGAGGAGGTCGACCCCGAGAACTTTACCGATAACTGAGCCTTCTTGTATAGCCTTTTTTATGTAATGCATTCAATAAAGATTTTGCAGCTTCCCATTTCCATAGACACTCAGATGGACAGAAACACTGGGACCCGTCATTCCCTGGCTCCTCACATTCAAAATTCGGCTGCATGCTTAAGAACTGCCCGGATGTGCATGGCGACTTGGCGCACTGATACGCACCGGTAGTACGCCCGGAGACTATCCAACCTAGAGCTCCCATGAACTCCCTTTCGAGCTTCGTTCGGTTGCCAAAAAATACAATATAATGAGGCGCAAGGAACATCTAACATGTGACTAGTTGGAGGGGAACCGCAGATGTGGAGGAAAGTTCACAATTTCACAGTGTGGCTACACGGATCCCCCGTCAGGTCGGCAGCGATGGGGTTCTCACTGTAGGACGACAGTGCTAAAAGTCAACGCATTAATAAAAAGCTCGATGAACTAAGTTGAGAGTACTCGCAGGGGGGAGAATCGAGGGTCTCGCTGTAGTGCGTGTATTGAAACATTGGGTGCGTGTGTATTTACTACAAAAAACCTGATGATCAAAGGACGTGAGTATGAGGGGAAAGTGAGCATCAGGATAGAGGAAGAGAGGCAGAGGCCCTCTCAGCGAGCAGGTTGGCTTCTTTGATGAGGTCTTCGGTGCGGATAGCAAGGTGGGATACCTTCGACTCCAGCTCCTCCATGCTCTCCTCGAACTTGCCCTCCTCCGTGCTTCGACGATCCGCCTTCCCTTGCAGACGCTCCTGCTCAGAGAAGAAAAACAACCAAATTTCTGCTGTAGCCCACGTTCTGGAGCTCACGTTCCTAGCAAAGCATTTTTAGTTAGTGCATGTCTGCCTATTCGTTACAGGTCTCCAACAAATATAAAAGTGTTTGAACAGTAAGCCAAGTTTAGTGTCAAGTGAAAACAAAGTGCTTATGAGGTTGTTACATTCCAAAATAAATTCTACTATTTTAGGAAAGGTTTCGTTTAGTTAGGAGAGCCTTCAGAATGGACCATCACTGGAAATAGGCAGTGCCGATTCATATGGCCTCATGCGCTGCATGACCGCTAACCCATCAAGGATGGATGCATCTAAGGGTTGGGGAGAAAGACGGATATCCCAATTTAATCCAAGGGTGGTGACAATAAACAGCCAAGTTTCAAAAGCAGCACTTGAGAAAGGCATGAAATAATTTGCACCGGAAGGAGCTATTTTGAAGAAAGATGACTACTTACTTTTAATAAGTACATAAATTCTATCACCTCTCTTTGAAAAGTTTCGGCGTAAATGCTCATCCTCCGATTCAAATCAAGGTAGTATTCATAATCCTTCTGTAAAGTCAAAAAATACGACTCAAGTGAGTAGTCGAATCAATTAAATGACTAACCCACATAAAAACTGCGCCAATTAAAACGGAATTCGGTACTTCGAAGTTAACAAATGACCATGCCAACAAAGCATATCCAACAACTAGCTGATGATTATTCGCAATTACAAAAAAAATGAAAGGAAGCTGGTTAACGCGTTAGTTATAGCCGAAAAAAAAACCTGGGTTTGTTGAACATCGGTGTGCAGCTTTTTCAAATACTGCTGCCGTGCATCAGCTGACTGACGAGCCTCCGCGATAGCCACATCGGTCTCGGTAATCCACTGATTGAGTGTCTCCTTCTTTGACAACGCCTGACGCTTTAGATACTCAAGTTGTTTCGTCGATTCACTCAAGTCCCGCTCAAGTTTATCCAGCTCTTCCACCTAATAAATGAGCAGATTCAATGCTGTCCTAGCATGTTTAAATTGAGTGCAATCAATGTAAAGAACTCCTTTCAATGAGGTGGGACTGCAGGTTTTCACATCCTATCACAGTGTATTTGCAATGAAATTTCATCAAGCGCTTGGATGCATACTTTCATCAGACAATGCCTTATAGCTTACAAGTCACGACATTTGGGCCACAAGTAGGAAGATGCCGCGACTTATCCTGATTTCGATGGCTAATATTGCGCAAATCAGAAATAACGAATACGATTACAAGATTACTATTCCCGTTAAACCACATTTTTGCCCAGCTTAATCTAGAAAGAAGACCTCGGAGCTCACCTTCTTGTTCAAACTTGATTCTAAGGTTGCTAGCTCATTACGTTTGCGAGCGACTTCAGCTGCGCTGGATTCCGCTGAGCGTTTCAGCTTCGCTTGGACATCGGCGAGTTCGGAGCAAATAACAGGGATCTCCTTCAAGGGATCGAAGGTATGGAGGTAGGAACGCATCTTCAGTTGCGGCAATGAAGGATCGGTCTGCAAGGACCAAAAGATGTTATTACATGTTCGTATCCTCTTTTGAAGAAAGTATAACAATCCAGTAAAAGCTAACTACCAGTAAACTAGGGAAGCTAACTTGAACTATCTAACACCTATAATTGCGTAATAAGTAAATAAGCACTTACCAGACGGACAGCGAGAGAATTGTATTCGTCAAGAGCCGGCGCCACAGGCTTGTCCAGACGCCCGAGTTCAATAGAGCGTTCATGCAACAGCTGAACCAGCTCTTCCTTCACACGAACACGTTGCTGATAGTGCTCCACTAAGCGCTGATAAGTGGTAACGACATCCCCAAACCTACAATACGAACAAATATGCGATGACATGTCATAAAGATACTTATCTTGATTCAGCGATAATTATCCAATCCCAATTCAAACATTGCAATATAATCGGAATTGTAGCAGGTAATTTTACAAAACACTCTGTGACAGAAAATTTTTTGAAATTCCGGCAAAACCTTGACGATCTTTCGAACTCGTTGTCATAGCGATTGCAATAAAGGCTATTACCATAATGCAAAAATAAATGTTATTCAAGTATGAGAAAGAAGGTCCTGACTTACTTAGCCCGTTGTGATGAAACAAGATTTTCCAACTTTTCCACCTCAGCGGCCACTTCGCCAACCTGATCACGAACTTTCTGTGCATTTGACGCGGCCGCATCAGCTTTTGCCTAAATACTGCCTGGATTCATTAGAGGTTTTAAACCAGATCGCATTCATTCCAGTGAAGCAATCAGATACCTCAATTACTCGTAGGAGTCATATTGAAGAACAAGATTCACAACTAAATATTTTCTGCTATAAAGTGAACGATACATTGAAAATATTCCCATTAGTAAAAGAAAATGGAACTTAATGGTAAAAAGCTACTGCGTATTTGTTAAGGCGAGTGAAATAGCATACCTTGCAACGATTTTTGCTAAAGTGTGACAATCATCGAACAAGTTTGGGTAAATAGTCTACTAATGAGGACTAGCCGCAAAGATGTGAGCGATCTGACTAAGATACAAGTAATGAGCAAACTTCAAATCAGCTACCAAAATTACTGCTCTTATATGTCTGTCGCATGTCGTGCAAATAAAAGCATCCCAAGTATTTTCCGGAAACGATGAAAAGTAAAAAACTATGCATTTGGAGTACAAAGAGGCGAACCTCTGCTTCAGGCAGGAGGGACTGCAGATGCTGTAGGTGGTCGCTCTGCTCAGCCAACTCGCGCTCAGTGGCGGAAAGGCGACAGCGGAGGTCGCGCTCCTGTTGGATGAGGTTCGCTGATGAGGGCTGGTTCTCCATCTCCACCAACTCCGCTTCTAGTCCCGCCACGTCCTCCGGTCGACACCTCAAACTGCATGCGCACGCTGTCTCAAAATGCTGCCAATACAAGGAAATTGATTAGGCAAGACAGCACCCTGTCCATGTAATAGCACTCCTCCAACGACTTCATTGTAATAATGCTATCCTTTACATAACTATCCGTCACTACATAAAAGCTAGGTGTGAGGCAACTCAATAGATGTTACCGAGGAAAGTAAAATTGTAGCGTGACTCAAAGCGCAAAAGCTGAACGCACCTCGCGAGCTTCAGCCGATGGCTCCACGGTATTCGCAGCGACACAGTCAAGCAAGAGATCAAAAATCAGTTTACCTACTGGTCCGGCCTCGTTTTCGGTGATGAAATGAATTTCATCCATTTTCTCAAGGAAAAATCAAAGGGTCATTTTTTTCACAGCTATATGTAAAATTAATAATCACGACTTTAAGGCGGGAATATTTCAACTGGTCCTGTGGTGGCTGAATAGGGTAAAAGCTAAATTATGGTTATTTTTGATGTCCATTGCGATATACTAACACTGTAGACTTTTCATATTACTCGAAAATCTACTAAATAGACTTGATTATACTGTCAGTACAGTCATTTGAAAAACACTGCATTGAACGCTTAGCTTGACAAGTTGGAAAACTCAAATAAGAAAATAACTCCAAGTGAATCGGATAGTATACCTGGACCCCAGTTATAAGGTGAAGAGGCCAAGGCGGAGACTTACGGATACACAGGTAGAGAGTTCGTTACGGAGCCAATCCAGCGCAGCTAGGATCTGTGACGCAGAGTGTGGAGCTCCCGGAGTTGTAACGGTACTTCGCTTCAACGCCACGGGATAGCCAAAGGACTTCAAAGTGCTTGGTTTGTGCGTTTACAACAAATGCATTAACTAAGGTAGAGTCTATCTACAGAATCGATCTACTGTACATTCATCAAGTGTCATTTGTACATAGCTGAATCCAAAAGACATTTTTACAAACGAACGTGCCTGTTACAACAGTGAATATGCCCCACATTTGCTATCTTCATAAAGAGCAAGAATGTAGTAAAAATTGCTGTCGAATAAATTAAGAGAACAATGGCAGGTCTATCTTTAAACATTAACTTTAATATTGTTTTAATGCTTATATTATAGCAGAGTACCAATAATGCATGTGCATGAAAGCTATTACTTGACAAAGTAGTCTTCGAAGGCCACCTTATCCTGTGGTATGAAGTAGTTGGGAGCGAAGTGATTCATTATATGCGAGAAAATTGAAAAAACCAGTTTTTGACTTGGGCTTTGGAGCGCTTTTAGGGATACCTGGCCCTCGTAACCTGTGTCGCTGAGGAACTAGGTTGATAAAAAAGTGAAACACATAAATAACTTACTTCAACTAGATTTGATATGCAAGTAGTAGTAGTAGTAGTAGCGTTTTTCGGTTTTGCCCTAACTGGGACGGCTGTGGACGGTCGAGTCCTAAATAACGAAACACTTATAAGCCATTTTAAAGCATTATTTAGTCAAGATACACTACCAATTAATGGTGGCAAAACTGGTGCACAACAAAAAAGTACTAAGTTTTAAAAAAGAGTTCATGGCACCAATTAGTTGTATCTTAATGGACCATGCAAAAGATCATCAGAAGAGCGGCAAATCAGCAAAATCTGGCGAAATAAACCATGCTTAAAAAATTTGAAAATCGGTAATGACACACAATTGTGAGCCGCCAGATGGGAAAGCCTCAGAGTTCCGAGCCGGCTGGCCTGCCACCGAGGAATAGGCCCGCCTAGCAGCCATTGAAAAACGACTGTCCTAATAAAGCGGGATAGAAAGTATCAACAAATAAGCTACATCAAACGGTAACGAGGTTCCAAATAATACAAAGTGATAAGTGGATAAAGAGACATTACGCGTACATATTCGTCGTGGCTGAAAAAACAAGGGACGAAAAGCAGCCAATCTGATAGGAAGTCATGTCCATTAACAACTTAAAATGCAATCAAAACATCAAAACCGACAATGATCACTCCCAAATAAAATCAGAAGACAAAGATCTGCAAGAGACAAGCGCACAAAGGACGCACAAGCGAAGTGCATGAAACTACAAAAAGGGGTACTAGACCACGTAAACGAAACACACCGACGGCACAACACCCAACCGCCTAGGCATCGACTTTTCAGACGGCAGTCGATATTATAGCGCCTTAAGGCCGATGAGTTAAAACAAGGCAGGCAAACTAAGGCTTGGTTATGCTCTAGCACTATTCTTTTGGGGAATTCTGCATTTTAAATACCTTTAGTGCTCTCTTATTTTTTTATTCCATTATTAGGTACGTAGAACACGTTTTACCTAAACGGATTTTAACAATTCGATCTAAGAAAATCGCCATACTTTGACTGTCAACTATCGCTACCTATGGAAATCTAAGCAATATAAAGTACCTAAGTGTCTTATTTCTACGCAACTACTGAGTGGTGTTAGCAAATATGACCTATGCAAAATGATTTGATACTTGTAGTTGAGAAATGAGCATCATTGCAAAGTTATTCACTAATCCATAGTCTAAAACGAAAGAAGTTCACTTAAAACTATACTAACGTAAAGTTTCTAAAAAGAATTAGAGCTACTGGCACAACCCAGAGACCAGCCCGCCCCACGAAGGTACAATTGTAATACTTATGTATTTTAATGTTCCTTCTTTAGAGGCGGTGGGGATACGAATCGAACCTCATGCCTGAGGAGCAAACGTCCTGCAACCTAGATAGGGCTTCCGTGTCCAAATTTTCCAGAACTTGTACTTGCTTTTCCTCTTACTTATGCCAATATACATTACGAAGCCGAATCAACCTGGGTGTTCTAAGAGAATGAGGACCAAGGAAGGGGCGCTCTACTAGCGCCGTTCTAGATAGTGACCATGACTCAAAGTAGCCCTTTTGCCGAAACCGAGTGTTGGATAAACACTTAACCTATTATGTAGCTCCTCTTCTCTTTTTGGCACCATCCCGGCGTCAGCCACCACAAAGTATTCGATGCTGTAGGGAAAGGGCCAGTGCACCAACAGCACCAATTAACTAACTTCCATAAAACTAAGGAGATATTTTACTGCATTGCCACTGATCTCTCTTGATGATTTAACCAGATCTGCAGTTTTCTCTCGCACAGGAAGTGGATTTGGAAATAGTAAATCGAGCTGGCCAACACGCATGTGCGTAAGTAGACGTAAGAACACTGGCCCAAATGCGTATTTATATAAGAGAGGATGGTATTTAACAGTGTCGTATTGGAAGAGTTTTAAATCCATTCCTCCTTACCACTTTGAAATCCATAGCTGCCCACTTATATCCGTCTGAGTTCGATCCAGTTAATGTAGAGGTAGAGAAGATATGGCAAGTTCACTTTATCGATATCTTTGTGCAGACACGGTAGGCAACTCCACAACGAAATTTTTTCGGATGATCACAGCTAGTGCCACTTTCGCTATTAAGAACTTTCCTACAGGACGGAGGATCGGGATAGCTGCCGAAGTCAGACGTCATTTTTAGTCCTTCTATTTAGCATTGTCACTGATTCCCCCACATGCAATTCTTCCGCCCACATAGAGCGTATCACTCAGCTGCATAAATCAGAACGGTTGCCATTTATGATCGCGTTTGCTTCACGCTGCCACCGATATAGCGCACCACGGCTTCTAGAAGGGGTTAGGGCTGTTGGCATAGCTCAGAGGCCAGCCCACCTTCACCAATACCAAGGAATAAACAAACAAGCGAAACATTACAACTTTGGTCTTACAAGTTGCTAGTACCTAATTCTTTTACTGAAGGCTTAAATATTTTGTAATACGATGGTGGTTTACACCTCAGTATTGTTAAGGTGCCACCTTTGAACTTTTGAATTAGCCTTCTTGTACCTCGCCGGGCGGGCCGGCCTTCGGGCCATGCCAGTAGCCCAAACACCTTTTCTGTGCTGAACATAGGTATTTCGCCTAAATACGGTTTCTTCCTTAGTCTTCAGGGAAGTCTCGCGGCGCTACAATTATGGCTTCAAATGCATTGTGGAAACATGTGCACAATGTCCCGGTGTAACATAACACAAAGATGCAATAAGCCCTACGATTTTTAACCTATTTTATTTAAAAGGATGCTGTCAAGCAAATACCAATGTATTCAAGGCGTATAGCTTAATAATTCTGGATGGAGCGATTAAAATCCCGTGTGGATTGTCATTGATCTGATATCCAACAAGTAATTGTGGGTTGTAGGTTAAAATTCTGCGGCCATATTGTTCTAAATAAAAGCTGTACTTACCTATATTGCAGATCTTTAATGACTTGGGCTTCCATTTTTCTTTATTTTATTTTACCTCTTTCGAGAAACGCGTGTGACATTTGTTGCAAATGACCGGGTTTTCAGAAATTATAAATTGCTACATGTAAGCAAAAATCTAGACAGCAAGTTTTACTATCATGCTGATCAGTTGGCTGAGTGATCTATAATTTGTTTTTGCTTATCAAGGCAGTTGGCCTTTTTTAGGGCGCACTAGGGAAATGGACTTTTCCAATGCGCCTATTGCTGTTTTGGAGGTTGATGAATTTTCGTGTACCAGCAAAAGTGATCCCTTGGATCAGCCATGCGAAGGAGTGTTGAAGCGTTCTCTGTCTGATCCGTTTGACATATCTGGTGGATTACAACTAGAAGCATCGCTCGAGCATCTCATATGGACCTTTGATGACAATGTTTCCCGTGGACTGATGGATTCATCTGATGTTGATGAGTCTACTAGTCACCGAGATACTAATGCGTCGTTAGATGCTATTAAGTATGACTATTTTTAGTAACGAATGAATAAGGTCATTCTGGCGAATAAGCGTTGCACCGATTGAAAACCCCAAGGATTCCTATCCGCTTGAAAAGCGACCTATAGCGCTCAATAAGGTTAGTTTATAAAAAACTGCCTGTCTTGTAATTTGGTTTTAAAGTGTATTGGATCGTCGCGTTGACTGTTCTTATTTCTTGTTGGACTCTTGATCTATTGCCAAGATGTTGGTCCCTTATATACACATACATATACTGTTTGTCTTTTCACAAAATTAACACTAAATGCGCAAGTACAGTTTACTATTTCTTTAAACGGCTTTGACAATACATCAAATTTGTAGTATTGATACGCACTAATATCTTCCTAACTGACACCTTGGGAGTCGCTTTGTTCTTAAGTTTCGCTACTCTCAGTTTGATTATATTGACTTTCCTATGATAAATTTTTATATTTCATCACAAGAGAAAATTTGAGGAGTACCTCGAAACACTGGGGTTGGACCGCTGTTTTTAATTTAAGCTATAATTGTGCACTTTGTTTACTTCAAGTAAAACAACTGTTTCTGTTGAATGTAGGAGGATCTTCACATGGCAGATGCTGAATCCGTTTCTGATGCAGAATTTGAAGCGTTTGCTCTTAATACTGAGTTACTCGTGAGTACACACGAACCTTAATATTTACATTATCTGCAACCAATGGGTTTTGTTCATCACCTGGCCATCCTTGGTGTCCGATTCCGTTTTTGCTGAACTATGTTGGATATTACTGCGTTGGATTCCTATCTCTTGCAAGAAACTGAGTTTTTTGAAATGCGTCTGTGTATGCTCTACCGTATCATTTCATTCTAAAGCCTCTTACGGCTGATCAGTGCCCTACTACGACTTTGAGAATACTCTAATTTGTATGCCATCTTTGAAGATATAGTACGCCAGCACAACTGCTTGCCCCTTGATACGCAATTAGTATTTTTATTTTTATGCCTATTTTAACAATTTGTGATAGCTATATTATCCACTTGGCTTAATGAATGTTAGCTTATGGTATGGACTTTTAATTAGCTAACCATAGTAATACATTTTAAATCCTTAATTCACTTTTTTCTCCTATATTTTATGGCTTTGGAAAACATCATTAGGTGCTGGAAAAGGTTGTACAATTGATATCTTTTCTTACTTGGAATAAATGCAGTTATGTCTGTTGATCCAGTGGAAATTAGTGGCTTTGAACACCCACCTTGATGAGGGCATTTACTGTAACATAACCTTAGTTCTCTACCATCGTTTTTATCGTTTTTTGTTCATATAGTGTGGCTGGCTTCCAAAAGCGGTATCTGCTTCAGGGCACCCGTCATTGATGGTGATTTATTTGTTTTTTTACCAAAATATTTTAATTTCTCGCATGCTTTTTTGTATTAAGGTATACCGCTTCAGGTAATACATTTTTGTTTCACCTGGATTAGTTTCAACCAGATACTTTCCTGCTCCTGCACGCTCTGATTTAAACAATGAATGCTAGCTTTTAATGGCTGTTGGTTTATACTGCAAAATGCGAGAAGCATCCCTCCATGTGCACTTGGAATCAAACCATTGTTTCGACTCCCTTGTTAGAGCATATTCCCTCTTGTACTTTTTGCTTCTTTATGACCATTTCCTCAGTGTATGATCGATGGTTGCAACATAGCAGGAGATCATTTTAAAGTAAATCTGCACTCTCAATTTTAATGGGTCTCTTTAGCGTTTATTTATGAGGTGAAACCATAAATGTTGCTACTTATTATTTACCGGGAGTTGTAGTCAATCATTACCAGATATCTGACGGCTCAAAACCATATTTATAATTGGCATAAGTTTCATTTAGCTATAGCAAGCACAACAAAAATGAAGGATTACACACGCTTTTTATGCTTAAATCAGTTATTGGACTTTTTTAAAAAAAGTAATTTCTATTCCACGGGATGACACTTTCTTTAATCCATCAGCAGCGCTGCGTTTTTTTTCAAGATAACGGCTTTTAACAACTATCAAATGGATCGCTCCTCTTCTCCCCCCCCCCATCGAAATTTCGGGTATGGGGTAATAACATTGGCTGCATCTATCGCTTCTTTCCTGATAGGTAAACGGTGAACTTGAAAGAAGGGGGGAAATGTGTTGCGGTTGCATTTGGCGTCAAAAAGGTACCGACCACAGAGCTCTCTGGCTTCTTAACTATGATGCTCGCATCCATTCTGCCTTATTATTGCGTGATGTTTAATTTAAGTTTAATTTAATGATGGATTTGCATGTGAAAAGAATTGTCCTTTCTTCTTAAGTTTGCGAGAACTACGAAATAATTTGTGTTTTGACAATAAATGCAGGTTTTATTACTTTGGGTACTCAAATACTATCATACATCAAAATGCGCATGAGACTAATCGTCTGTTTTCAAGATTCTACCCCAGACTTGTCCTATTTTTTACGCGCTTTTCACAGAGGCGATAAATTCTAATTAATCCTTTTTTGCATTTTGATGTTCAAGCAGTGTTTGCCTTCAGTTTGATCTTTTTTCCTACTGTTCACTCGCGTTGATTGCGTAGACGTGCTTTTGGGTTGGATGAAGGTAGAGTTTAGCCGTCACGGCTCAGGTGTTTTCATTACATTCTCTTGCTGGTGAAAAAAACGAGTTTGGATGATTGCGCACACATGAATGTACATGAAATGTTCTGTAGACAGCCAAAAGTGAACGGATAGATTTTGCGATTAAAGCGGAATTGATGTAGTGAGTTCGCAGCTACGCAAGGTTTGTGTCGGCAACTGTGACTTCGCAGATAACTCTAACTTCGCTTCGTGTCACACTCATGTGAACCACTTAGTGAAGTTAAAACTGTTTATTGTTAAAGTGCCATTTGCACGATAACTCATACTGCGCGGACGGTTATGGGGTTTCTTGTACCTCAACATCTGCACTCATGGTGACGACAAAGCTCGAGTTTGTGATGGTTAATGGTGCTGAAAATGATAGCGCCTTGTAATAGAATATGCATCTTTCCTGAATGCCAGCTTTTTTAAATGTGCACTACTAATGAGTCGAATTATATTCCATTTTAGGCAAGTAGTACTTTGTGGTTAGCGCTGAACCACATTTATGGAGGTACATATTCAATTTAAATTGTGATTTAAAATTCCTATTTGAGTCAATTGTTGCATCCCACTGTCATTTCATAGAAATTGTGCATCAAGCGTCACATTTCAACACGTAAACCTTGTGCCTCGTTTGGGTAAAGGTTAACTCATAAATGTGAAACAAGAGTATTTCTGTTGAATACCTAGGTAGACTTTGGCAGCTCCCATTTACTTAAGGTGGTTGGTCACAATCAGTAGTGTTTTCAAAAGTGTGAATTTGGTAAAGTGCATTGCGGAAGCCTATATAATCAGAATTGTTACACACTTTGGGGGACCAGAGCCTAAAATATTCGCTGAATTATGAGGTCTACTTCATTTCGAGTAGTATCTGTGTTTAGCTGTCATGAGTACCATATATTTTAACTTCTTTTCAGGAGATTTTGATTGAGTAGAGGTGTCATCCATTCATTAACTTAATGTATTTTGCTGAGAACTAACAATTCCGTGGGTGTTTTGGGTGATATTGTAGGTTTTGTGGTGTAGTTTTTGACAATTAGATCACCTTGCAATGCTAAAAGTATTAAAATCCAAAACCCAGCTTTCTGTTTATTCACCTTTCAAAATGTAGCATCTATATTTGGGACCCGCTTGTGGCTTTGGTGGGGTATTAGTTAATCAGTTTTTTGGTTACCGGATTTTGTGTTGGATTTTATCCCGTGCTACCGTACCTAAAGAGACCATTATCATTAATATTTCTCTCCCTCATCTGAGCTGTAGAGTAGAGGCGTCCAACTCTAATAATCTATGTCACTTTTGTCTTTTTCATATCTTTGAGCATTTACTGTCCGTTGGACTAAGTGGGAACTTCCTGTTTATTGTTTTCAAACCACGTGTTATTTCCGATGTGTTTCTTTGGACACCTATGTTGCACTTTTGTAGGCAATAGTCAACTACTTAAAATTAAGTTTAACCCGTATATGGGCACAAATAGATAAGGAATCTATGTAGAAATGATTAGAAATCAGTTTCGGACTGTTAAAGTGTTAAGTGTGGCTTTGTGTTATAATTCAAAGGACCAGACCAGGTCAACCATGCCTGATATTTGATCTTAGAGAAAGTAACACTCATAATGCCTCAGCAACAATGCTGTGCTTCTTTCCTACTTTTTCTTTTGGCTCAGTTTGCTGAATTCACCTATGGATTACGTCACTATATATGGACATTAAAAGTTGCTTTTAGGTTCCCTGTAAGCAAGCTGCACTACAGCATTGTTTGGAGGTTTTCTTTGGTATGGTTTATCTAAGAAGAAATTTATTGTTATACCATTTTTAGTAGCGTCCATGTACTGCCAGCATATATTCATTTCCCTCCGTGCTAAGTAGTATTTATCAGCTTTAGTAAAATAAATTTTGCTGCATAAATATTCTATGCTCAAAAATGTGGGCAGTTAACCTACTAAGCCCCTTTTTTGCCTACCATGATGGACCTCCAATGGCTCGACTCCACAATTTCCTGGCCCAAGTTCTCCTCGCACAAATTGAGCATTTTGTTATTTAATAAAATTGATTTATACGCCTATTGTTGAAGGTTCATCTCCTCTCTCGATACCCATACGAGCCAATTGAAGATGTAGCATCAGTTGTTAAGGGAAGACATGATTGTTTTGCACTTAGGTGCTACCTGATTTGACTTGACGTAGCGAGTGAAACCTTTTACCCTATTCTGTTATAAATACACAACAACAAATGAAAGCAGGTCGAAGCATCCGAATCACTTTTTAATAAAGTTTCCGGAACAAAATGCATGCTTTAATTTTTCGCTTGTATCTGCTAGGTGTCATTTGATGTACGCATAAGCATTCGATCAATCAGTCTTGAGTTAGTATTCACACCATTAATGTTTCTATTTTTGACTCGCGCGAGCAATAAAATCATTCGTTTACCTGGCCGTAGTCTTGTGGCTTCCGTCAGTTGGCGAAAAGGTCTTGCACAAAGTTCTTGCATTGCCTAAGTCAGGTTTTGTGATGCTTTGGGACTCAAGGACCTATAAATGAGTTTATTAAAATTCACACAGGTCGAAAGTGTGTGTAATCCTATATGTACACAAAATAATTGACTTTGAACTATGTCACAATACACATTACCGTTTCTCCCAGTTGGAACGTGAGAAACTGGCTGTGATTGGAAAGGAAATTGTTAAGGAGGGGAGGGAGATGGAGGATGACGACACGGTGGCGACAAACTCTCTTGACCCCTTCTCCTCGTCCTCCTGTGAGTCACTCCCCAACTCTCTTTCAAACACGCCTCCAACACACCTCCCGCCTAACCAACAGCCGACGATGACGATAGCAACGGTAGCATTGGATACGACAGAGGACCAGGCTTTAGACGCCTCCTTGAGATGGGCCAGTCTCCAGGCTGCTCTAGAGGCCTTCAAGGCGCGCCATCCAACTCTGCCGCTCATTGAAACTCCCGATTGGGCTCAAGGTAACTCGTTGTGCAGCCCCATGCTTACTACTAGTCTATTTTTAAGGAATAACTGCTATAGGATTGCATAGAAAGTTTGGAGACTAGTCATGGCAAACATCAGAGCCGCAAATATCCGACTTATAAGGAGTAAGTCGGTAGACTGGATGTGTCATTAATGCGTCAATCAATTGAAATCTGTTCTAGAATGTGAAGCATTTGGTGTGTACAAGAGCTCTCCAACGCCCTTTAGTATTACGACTTTGGTCCTACACTTGTCATTTGCCGATGTATTTCAATGTTATTTCAAGTTTACACACATTTTAATGGTGAAATTGAGACTTGTTTTCAGGTTTTTTAAGACAATTTTATCATTCAGTCAATGTCTTTTTATCCACATGATATCTATGCAATTTTTCATTTATTAAAACTTTCGTCTGTCGTCAGACTTGGTGTATCTAGGGGCTAAATAAGTGAAGTGGAATTGCAGTACCCTTTATCAAGTGTGTGTATTCATACCCCGGTAACGGTCGAAAAACATTACGTATGCGCGTTCTTGCAGCTAAGATTCCATTGTGACTCCGAGAGACACTTGTAAGTTTCTTCCAACCTCGCATCAAACTTACCGATAATCACCGCAGCTACCTCTATCGGCGCCACTTGGAGCCATGACAAGCCCATTTGCCCTCTATTCTACCCGGAGGATGTTGCCTCTCCTTCCCTCGGGTCAATTGGCTTGTTTACACAGGCTATCTCACCTACTGAAACGTGACGTGGCTGCACACACATCTGTTGGTTATGTAGCTTCGCTGGTAGTTCAAACTTTTGCGCTTCACCACTCTGTTGGCCAATTAATTTTAACGCTGTGTTTCAGTCACTAATAACGGCTCTCATATGAGCCTTGGTAGCTTTCAGTCTTATGATCGCATATTTGGCTTGGGTTGGCTGCCAATTCGTCTCATCCCCGTTGCGCATTTCCTGTCGTGAATGGGAGAACCTATTTATGTAACGCGTCTGAAACGCATTGCATAGTATGTTTGATGGCGCTACCAAATCGGAGCTGTGTTACTTGTTTTAGTAAAAAATGACGTGTTTTGCTTAAATAATGTCGTTGAAGTGAATTTAATAGAAAGGTATTCCAACAAAGGAACAATTGAGAGTCTAGGCTGACAATCAGTCCTCATTTGAGTGGAATCTCAGAAGCTTACTGACAAAATTATACTTGGTGAATGAATTTGGATTTTGCAACAAAAAAGCTCCAGGAGAATGTCAACGGAAGAACAATTGATGTTGCACCATGATCACTCAAAAATTGAGGTCAGTGGGTCGAACCCAGAGTAAAATAGCAGATGAAATTTCTCTTTCGCTAACCTTTGCAATCATAGCCTCCCTTCCTTATCATTTACCATTTCGTGCATCTGATTGAAACTGATTTACTCAGAAGTCGGAGTACCCATAAAATACCTTCATTCAAGTAAACGCGGGGTGTTGGCTAAACGCAAATATTTTTCTTACACAAGAATGTGGATTTATTAAAAGTTTTTATGCCTCCTTTAAATCCAAAATAATTAAATAATTTTCCAACAACTTTGTGTACGTTATTTCTGTGCCGATTTTTTCTGCCTTGGTTACTTGCATCACTTTATTAATGAGAATGGGGATTAAGTTCAAGTAGATGGAACGAATCAATTGGGCATAAATTATATCACGTGGAACCGAAAGGGGGCTTAAACCCAAGGTGTATATTCGATCCCACGGTTGCATTACCCAGAGGGTGAGCGAGAGAGTGTTTGAATTTAGTCCTGCGCGCTTCCCCTTTTGCAGAATTGGAGCGTCTATCACTACAGCTTCTGCGCCACTACGTGAATGAGTTGGAGACAGAGACGGGCAGCATCTCCGAACTCCTTGTCTCCTCTCTAGCGGAGCGCGAGGAACTGCGTCTCTTCCGCGAAGTTCTAGACAACTTTGTCGTCCTTCACAACACCCTCCAACTCCGACGACGCAAAGCCGCTGAGGCTGTGCTCGCCAACACTACTCGATCTACTCTGGTTCATCTCAAGCAACATCTGGTAGACCTCTTTCGCTTACGCATATAAAATTAGTCACCGTCTGCACAGTCTTTTCTGTATCATATTGTCACCTCCAAGTGCTTTTAGATTTCACAATAACCAGTAGTAATTTGTTTAATTTTGCCTTTGAATGGACGGACTGAATTATTCCTTTATTAAATTTGATCCTCGGGATTATAAGATTAAAACTTCAGCAGTCTCTATGTTCTTTCTCGAATGTTTACACAATGGGCTGCTTCCAAGCCTTGGTGCATGTCTTCCTGTGTTTATAACCACATAAAAGACGTTCCCTTACGCATGCATGCGTACGTGTACACGTGACACAATGCCTTTTCTGTTGCTCTTTTCCGCCGGGGAGCTTAACGCTTCGTTTGTAAAACTTGTTTTGATTTCATTTACAGAGTCATTCAGGGATGCATCGACGAGTCCCACGTTTGAATTCACCGGAGAGTCTGATCGAGTTGACTAACCTGTCGAAGCGGGGTGATGGCCTTTCGGGTAGCGCAGTTTCGTTGAATCTGCAAAGACAGGAACTAGAGCGTATGCCACGCGGTCACCATATCGGGGAGCCCATTGAATTCCCTGGTCTACGATCAGCTCTGAGTCGCCTCTCCGGTTTGCTTACAGGCCAGACCGCAGCGACACCGGTTCTCACTGAAGATGCAGTTACCATGGCCACACGAGCCGTTGCCGATGCTGAGGCAAGCCGCAGACGTTTGGCTAGTTCCAAGGTCCCGAAACGCTTGATTGAGGACGCGCAGAAAAATGGTGATAAACTGCCCCTTTATGACCTCCCTTGGCCAATGGGACGACCGGAGTTTAGCCAGGTACTCCTCGGCCATTGGTATAAACCATGGCTTCTCTTCATTCGTATTTCATTACTAAAAACTCCTATTATTACGTATTCGGTTATCCCCGTTACTATACATCTTCCATAGAACATTATTTTGCTGAAGCATCAATGAATTGAATTTCGTTTATCGTGCTGGTATTTTTAATATGATTTTTGCCGTTTTAAGGTCATTCTTATCAGTACCATCAAAGTAGAAGCATATTGTCACCACAAAAGTGTCATGCTAATGGATTACTTATTTCTTCATTCCTTCTTCCACCCAACATATTCTGTGGTAGCAGTAATAGATAACAAGCAAGCAGCATTTTGGTCTAGGGATGAGGCTGGTGCGATTTAAACCGTTTGCATGTGAAGCAATAACTATTTCTGTTGTTAATACCAAAGTTGGATTCTGTAAATTTTGCTTTCGCGTTTGAAATTGTCTACAGCACCCAAATTTCTATCTGCCTTTGCCAATTTGTTTTCATTTCCTCCCCCAAGAATGTGCTTACATTTCTCCTTCCTTCAATTCTTTTGTGATTGTTTGCCTCCTCCTCATTGTGCCTTTTGGTTTAGCGTTTCCATGCATGTTGAAGTCCCTTCTTCGGGAGCAGTGCTTCTGCGCTATGATTTCTGTCCGTTCTCTGTTTGCATTAACAAGTGCACAGCTGATGCATTTTTCTAGGCCTTTTGCTAACTCCTCCGTTCCTAAGCACGAGTTCTCCTCCACTAGTACATTAAAGCTGCTTTTCCTTTCTTTGCAGGATGTACAGAATCTGAAGCATATTTCACCTACCACTTAAGGTTTCACCTCACACAGCAAAACTCATTGTACTTATTTGATATGTAGATCTCTAGAGTACTTCATTGTCATGGATTTTGAAACCAGTATTGGTGATTTAGCTGATCAAATCTTTGTTTCAGCTGTAATGAATCAGTTATAAGAGATTGCTGGCGTTGGAACATGGCTAGTTTTGCAGTTTTTTGGATACTCCACGTAAGGTGTATTCATGGACTGTGTTTTGGACTTGTTTTGGTAATTATTAACCCTTTTATCACATACCTAACACAGGCGATAAAAGACCTCGAATCAGCCTATGTAGTGTGATCGGCCTTCATCGAGTTTTTTTCTTTAACAATAACTTTGAAGTAATTAATGTAACGAAACCCTAATTTTCACCTGCAGTTCCGCCCTCTCTCTCCATCTTTGGCACAAATTAAGCTTTGGACACCCACATTTTATTGACTGATATTGAACACATTAACAGTCAAAATACTAACGATAAATAACGTCGATTTAGGTATTTCAGCGGTCTACATTTCATTCTACAATTCTACCATTTTAGTCCTTAAAATTGCACATTCCTGTTCCTACCTCTGAATTGGCTTCTTGGCTTCCTCCAAGGCTGCGCATAATTAATCAAAGTAAGTCTTAGAAGCACTTGTTTGCGAGGCAAATGTAGCCCTTTGGCATATATCCTTGACCCGTCTTTTTTTCCTACACCCAGTTTTGCTAGCTGCCTTGCACGAGTCTTCGGAGGTCAATAAGCTCCTAAAAGAGCTTCAAGAATTCGGTGCGTCAGCAAACAGCTTTACTCTATTAGCTAGGCAAACATAGGTTTATCACCGTTTTTCGTTCCTCAAATTTACCCCTTTATACTAAAATACGCTTGAATTGCCTAGCTTCATCGGAATTTCAGTTGCGCTTTGTGGTTCTTTTTCGATATCAGTACATTATGAAGACAGCAAGTTTTGTTTTGGTAGCTGAGCTTCTTCTGTTTAATTAGTCAGGTTTTATGTCATCCCAATTTCGGCATGAGTCTACTGCTATAATCGTGCAGCGAAGAAGAACACATTACACGGTCAGTAAAGTGGTCTAATAGCTGCAGTCGTTGTTGGGTCCCTTATTTTCCGAGAAAGCGCTAGAGAGAAACGTAAACCAATGGAAAAGGCCCGCTGTTACATTCATAGTTGCTGATCCTACAAGTACGCAAATCCAAACCACAGTGATCTCGCCTTCTCTTGCGGCCATATTGCTGAGTTGCGTGACTCTTGCCATTCACTTGATATGACACTGGGTAACTCAAGGACTATGTCAAACTGTCCAGTGTTCCATCTGTGACCAGTGGTAGTTTTCTAGATGAGCCAAAGCTTTTTAGCAGGGTTTGTGCAAGGTTCCAATGACACTGAAATGGCTTCAGTAATAAGTTCGTCCCACTATATTTTAAAAATCCTCCCTAGATTTTAGCTTATTTCATCTTTTAGGCTAAGGCACTTTAAGAGAGTATCTGTGTAGCTAAAAGCGCTAAACTACGAGCATTCTTAACTAAAAATATGGCCTTTGATCACCTAACTACCTGTTTGCTTACGGAATGAAAATGGATGAGGCTAAAAGTCGCCATTTTTTACTATCTCAAGTTTTCCAGCACCTATATAGGGCTCCCGTGTAGGTGCTCGTCAAATCTTGACCGCTCTTTATTATTTTAGACCCATTGGTCGAAGCTGAGCAACTGCAACGAACATCCAAACACTTATCCGCCAGTGGCTTCGAGTCAGCTCAGGTGGATTCTCTGCGGATTCTTTATTCCTCGTGTGAGGTTGGGCCGCGGAAAACCGTCAGCTTTGATTGGCACGGAACGAAGGAGTTGTTTAAAGCTCTTGCTACTGAACGTAACGGCAGTGTACCTCGTCACACCTCCCCAGTTGCTTGACTTCCTCATTCTTTCTTTGATCATGAATGCCTTTGTGTACCTGATTTGGGTTCGCCTGTATTCGTCACTTTTCACTTGTCTCTTCCTGGCTGCATTGTCTCGTCGTTGTTTTGCCTCATAGTAAAGTGTTGCAGAGTCGCGCGTAGAATCATCGGCGGCGTTTGAGTTGCTGTCTTCAACAAGAGAGTGAAGGAGCTGCATTTGTCCAAGCCGACTGGTACGGGGGACCTAGATCGGCATTTACCTCAAATAGCAAATTCTAGCCTGGCCACAAATAGTTCTAGTATTAGGTAGGGTGATCGATGCAACAGACGATAAGGCTTCGTTGCATATTTCTACATCGAATGTTTTAATGGTAATACTAAACTACCAAAAGCAACCACAAGCGCTAACGGTACCCGCTATAAGTTGCATGATTATGCATTTAATTTTGCGATGCAATAATTTTTGGTAAGAAATAAACATAAACATAAACAAAATAATGTGCACCTAAGTTTGTTTCTAGGATCGAACGTTACTATGGCATTGATGAGCGCAGTATTCATTCCACATTTGCAAATTTTGATTTTATTAACTCTTGACCTAGTATTAAATGATGATGCTGACTTCAATCTCTTAGCTACCAGTAGTAATACCAGGTGTCATGTGTTATTAGCCTCCGAACTTTTCAAACCTGTGTGTTTCCACCCCTCGTCATGCTTAGTATGCCGTTCGCTCAACGGCGCACCCTTAAAGTTGATAAGCTTCAGCGTGCAGAGGAAAGAATAAAAGGCAACGTGTGGGACATTGAGGCGTGGAGTGTTATTTTACGTGATGCCCAGTCGAGAAAAATTGAAGATGCGCGCGAATCATTCGAGAGGATTATTGCCCAATTTCCTACAGCGGGTCAATATTGGAAAATATACATCCAGCAAGAGGTATATTGTCCCTAGAAATTTTATTAAGTTTTATTTTGACCTAATTAGTTGTGTATTTGTGGCTAAGGCATCTGGTTCTTGTGTTGGGATTTTCCACTTTATCATCGAGGTATTGCCTCTGTAACTGATATTTTGTTAGGAATATTGTGAAATATCGTATTTCTTTGCTCGGGGCCTTGCCTCATTTTGAGTTTTGAAATTTTCAGATGAAGGCAAAGAATTATGATCGTGTGGAGAAACTTTTTCAAAAGTGCCTTGTTAAGATTTTGAACATAGATTTGTGGAAGCTTTACTTACAGTATATTAAGGATACAAAAGGCAAACACCCGAATTTCAAGTAGGTCTTTTATTAAATTTTGTCTCCAAATACCTTAGGGAGAAAATGGCCCAAGCTTATGACTTTACCTTGGACAAAATGGGTCTTGATTTGAATTCTTACTCTATATGGGCTGACTATATTGCATTTTTGCGATCTACGTAAGTGTTTATCAAGGTATCGCCTAGTCGAACTTAATGTTCTACTCTGCTGAATCACTTTTACAGCCAAGTGCAGGGCTCGTATGCGGAGAGTCAAAAGATAACAGCTACCCGAAGAGTCTACCAGAGGGCAATCGTCACTCCAATGCTGGGCATTGAGACGGTCTGGCGGGATTACTGCATGTACGAAGATTCAATCAATCCACACATCGCAAAGAAACTAACTGAAGAACGCAGCCGTGACTACATGAACGCGCGCAACGTTACTAAGGAGTACGAGATCATGACGAAAGGCCTGTCAAGAAACATTCCCTCAGTACCACCTCAAGTAACACCACTTGAAGTCAAACAGGTGGAGCTCTGGAAGAAGTACATTCAATGGGAAAAAGATAATCCTTTAAAAACTGAAGACATCACCACGATCACTAAACGAGGTGAGTCCTCCCTCCATCGTTTATTTTGAAAACTTCCATGCCTTTATTATTGAACGTTTCTTTCCTTAACAGTCATGTTTGCCTACGAGCAGTGTCTCCTCTGCTTGGGGCATCATCCTGATATCTGGTACGAAGCTGCTAGCTATCTAGAGCAAGCTAGTAAACTTCTCACTGGAAAAGGGGTAAGTTTTATCCTAAATTTGAACTATTATTGTACTGTATTACTTTTATTGCACAGCATAGGTACTATCTTTGCAGTTAGTTAAATCTACTCGCCGTGAATTGAAACCTGTCCTTTTCTTCTTGGCTTAACAGGACCAAGCGATGGCTTCGCAATTCGCCGACGATACGGCGGCAATGTACGAAAGGGGTATTAATTTGCTAAAAAATAACATTATGCTTTATTTCGCCTATGCGGATTACGAGGAGGGTAGGTGCAAATATGCCAAAGTTCACAGCATTTACAAGAAACTCATCTCCATGGATAACGTCGATCCAACTCTGGTTTGTTTCCCGCTACCTTTAAGTTGCATTTTAATTATACTATTGTGCATTATTCCCTTTATTACCCACCGAATCTAGCCGTACATTCAGTACATGCGGTTTGCACGTCGCTGTGAGGGCATTCTGTCAGCGCGCCTGGTCTTCAAGTTGGCTCGTGACGATCCCCGTGTTGGTTATCAGGTCTTCGTGAGTGCGGCTCTGATGGAGTACTTTTGTAGTAAGGTATACATTTTTTTGCTTCTAGTAGATATTCCCCCCTTAACTCTGCTGTCTACACTTCTTGCATACTAACGCATTTGTCCGCTGGCTGTGGGTCATTCCAGATGATGAAATAGGTTCAATTAGCGTCTCAAAGGCTGCCGTTACCTTACCATTTGTTGACCTTTTTTTAAATCTTGATCAGTGCCAATCCGTGGATTTAGATAATGACAAAATAATTACTATTTAATGACGTTTGCGTCATAACTGGTAAATCCACTCTCATCTCTGTATAGCATGACCAAGAGGTGCATTTATTTACTGCAGGATAAAACAATTGGACAGAAGATATTTGGACTGGGCATGAAGCGCTTCGCAGGCAACTCCGATTTCGTGCTGTGCTATGTTGAGTATATGTCTCATCTCAACGAGGATAACAACACTCGAGTGCTTTTTGAACGCGCTCTGGGGACCGATGAGATCCCCGCCGAACGTGCTCGATCTATCTGGGCTCGATTCTTGCAGTTCGAACTTCAGGTGATTTTTACTTGTTTTTATGATTTTCTCCGCCCCAAGAGACGCTTCTGGGTTAACGAGCTTTGATTTGGATTTTCTGTTTGTTGGATTCTTTGAAGTCGACACAGCGTTTTATTTCATATCCTTCACGCTTAGGTTGGTGACCTTGCCAGCGTTCAGAAAATTGAGAAACGTCGACTCAAAGCAATCGAGAATGTGAAGGAATTTCAAGGGCGCGAAACAGCTCTTTTGATTGATCGTTATCGTTTTCTAGACCTCTTTCCCTGCTCTGAATCGGAACTGAGGTCACTTGGATATCGGGTGAGCCATACCCCGTTCTCCGCTTTGTGCTAATCTTTAAATTCTACCCGACTCTGTCTTTTTTTGATAACCGAAATAAGTTTGATGTTCGATCACTGATATCGCGCATTGTCATTGTAGGAGTTGGCAAAGCTTAATGTGACCGGTGCAGGGGGCGCCTTCTTGCATTCGGTGGGTTCAGGTGCTCCAGGTGAGGATGCACAGGGTGGCATCGGCGGTAGCGGTTCGAATCAGTCGGCCCTGCCGCTTGCTGACGCGGGCGACGGATCAAGCATCCTGTCTAGCGGCGGCACAAAGCAGCCCACATTCCCACAGCCTGACTTTGCGCAAATGCTGCCCTTTAAACCAAAGGCTTACCCGCGTACTGGCAGCCACCCTGTTGCTGGTGGCGAGTTTCCTCCACCCCCTGCTGCCTCCGCTCTCATCCACATGCTGCCCCCTCCCGAGTGCTTTCACGGGCCCTTTGTGCAGGTGGATAAGTTCCTAGAACACTTCCTCAATCTTGATATACCCGAGGGTGGGTCTTTTTTCTCATTTGAGACCTTTTTATCGGTTTCCCAGCGTGACTCACTCCCTATTTTGACTGCAGTTTATATAATTTTTATAGTTATTGTTCTATTTACACCAAATTTGTATGCAGAGGTGCTTATTCTAGTTTGTTCTATGGTGTGATCACTATGAATATTTATTCGAGAAGGGTATTTAAGCTTGGGGCCAACATTTTTAATATCCAGGACTTATTTTTCAATTTGAAACGTTATATTTATGGTTAACGTTACTTATACAATCGTCGCTTGTTTTAAACCAAGAACTGCCAGCTAAATGCATCCATACATTATACACCTTGTTCCTAATATAATTCAACCAGTTAGATAGTTTTTTGTATTTCGGTCTGGAAATATTGATTAATAAGAACTGGCTGGATGTTGTAATGCTTTGGACACAAGACGCTTATCGAAGCTGTCTTAAACTGAACATTTGATTTATTCGTTTCAAAACTACCCTTTGAGTTGGTAATCTAGCGGTACTACGCAAAATGTGGTGTTCGGTGCCGTTCAAGTCCGACTAATCTCCTTCCTCCGCCTTTCCACTGCCCTCTAGACTACATCACACAGGTGATGGCAGAATCGGAAGACTTGGCGATGACCAACATTGATGCGGGTACTGCAATTTCCATCGAGATGTCCAACGCGGCACCACAGCAAGTATTTTTGGCAGCGGCAGTACGTCGACGCAAGCAGCTACAACAGCAAGATAATGTGGTGGCAGGGAGGAAGCGCTCCGCCACAGCAACCACTAACGCCTTTGGGGACTCTGAGGATGAGGCGGAGCCAGAAGAGGAGGACGAAAATGACTCGGCTTTCAACGACGATGCCGAGGCTGGTGGTAGCAGCGGTGGCTCGAATGTCACCTCAGGAGTTCTTGACATCTTCAAGCTGCGACAGACTAAACGCCATAATGTTGCCTGAAAGCTTATACTCCGCCCTGTGAATGTTACCGAGTGTTTGTGTGTATATATAATGGAGTCTATTGTTCCCTTTTTAAGTCTAGCCTCAGTAACGTCGTTCATACGAGTATTTCGGTGTTGTAAGCTTTCTCAGTGGTGTTGTTTTGATGCGTTTATGTACGCCAAAGTGTTGTTTGTTTTGGTGGAAAGGGTTATCGTCAGATGGGCCACTCCAGCGTTGGTATGGCCTCGACAGGGATCTAAAATGGAGATTAAAATCTTATTGTTGCGGATACTGTCTTCAGGCTTCACGAGCTTAATTTAGAATGGAACAGTTCCTTAAATACGAGTACACTTGCGTGAATGCACCCATAGTGGTTTCATGTTCACTCGGTAATATGGCACGTAATCTTCGTTTGATTACAAACATATTTCTAAATCCAAACGGAGATCAAAACTGGGGCCAAAGGTCGAGTCCTGGACTAATTAACTACCACTTTTTTGGATAACATGAAGTGTGTCAAGGTAGCACTGCTATTTTCGACTTTACAGCAGGGAAGATGGTTGTGATAACGTATCTCGAAATCGGAGGTACTCAGCGGCTCCTCAGTTCGAGACTGTTATTAATGGCTTATACTCTAAGAAAGCCTCAAAATGAAGCAAAAAAAGGTCAACTGGGCTCCGGACACTTGTACGCACCCGCCTTGTGCAAATGCATAAATTCCAACAAACTAGGCTTTTGTATACATTTTTGTAAAAAGCTTGTGCGCGAACGTTTGAGAAAAATCATGGTAGGATTGAAATATGACGATTTCCAAGGAGCACGGTACCCAGAAGATTTTTTGGCTATAGCGCAACGTATAGTCAAACTATTGGATCGTAGCATAATAATCACCAGTGGTTATTTTCGTCACAAAATCCTAATCTTGACTTTCAAAAGTTCCTTTTGCCCAGTGGGTGTCATTTGCTTAGTTCTACTTTAGGGCCAAGACAAAGGACAAGCAGGCTGAGGAGACTCATAATTAACGGGCAGCTTTGAACTGCCAACAGCATCAAGCAACAGGCCTAGATCAAATGTGGACACGCGGTCAATTTATAATGGAATAAAACAAAATAAATTTATTTTAAACATTGACAACGGAAATAAAACAACGTAACGAATTCTATCGTTCCAAAGGAAGTTCTTCGTCTGATGTGGATTCCAATTGCGCCAAGAGTTGCATCAGCGCGAAATGAAACTGTGTGGCTTGTTGCTCATCATCAGCGGGTCCACCTTCATTAGTATCCACAATTACAAAGAATATTGGTCGTGGAGGCGGTTCTAAATTGGCTTGCTGAACTCGAATGGTGCTGTGCACATCTTCGTTTGATGGCGTAACCGATATTCCTGGGGCCAGTTCCATGTAGACTTCTTCTAGAGACTGACCCGACTCGGCGGGCATCTGGGCCTCTGAAGTCTGAGGTTCGATGGCCGACGCCATCAACAAACGAGTAAGCTCACCTATATTATCAACTCTCGGACTTGCCTCTCGGACTTCTCCGTCTGTTTCAAGAGTTCGGGGATCGGTGTTTAATGATGAGTCGCTTGTAGTTCTGTGCAATCCAGCGCCTTCATCTCGTGACAATTGAGGGGATGTTTCTTCATTTAAGTTATCGTCATCTAGCTCTAGCATATCAGGTCCACTCTCGAAAATTAACTGCTGTATATTGGCTGTGGGACCGAAAAACCAGACATCTTGATTTAGTGGAAGCCGTGGCAGACCACCAAACATCACTCCAAACTGGGGGGTAATTGGGCGGATAAAGATTGGACGTGGTTCGGGTGGGGGCCATTCAAGAATGCGCTCCTCATTACCTGCTGTTTGTCCGAAACCTCTAAAACTGTTCATTCCAGATGGATGAGGTTGCCTTCTTGTAGGTGATGCAGAGTTTGAGCGATCATCAATGATGGGACAGGAGTTAGTTTCAAAGCTATTTTCTTTTCCATTTGAAGCAAAGAAACTGAAAGATCGAGTGGATGGACTGGGGAGATAGGAAATGTCAGGCTTTCCCTGAGTATTAATCTGAGGTTCTCGTGAGTCAATTTTCTTCCTATCCCTTCTGGTGGGCTTATGGTTATTATTATTCGCCGTGGATGGCATTAACAAACCTGCATTCCTGGCACACTGATTAGTAAGACTATCCACATGCAAACGGTATTGCAACTAAAAAAGTGGAATTTTGTCCTAAGAAAGTAGGAACATTGAGGCGACGTGGATTTGCAAAATACGCGGGAGACGCCTCTTATCGATTGGTCCGGGAACCGCGATTCCCACGTGACGCGCGCTTGAGTTTCGTATTTTCCAACGAGGACACGGAGGGACATGCTTAAACAAGTTGGGCTTCTGGCTATAAAATAAGCAGATAGGAAATGTCTTATTCGCCCATACATAAGTCCGTTTTTGGCACCTACGATGAACTACAAAGCACAAGCCTGGCCTTGAACACCGACCATCACTGCATAATTCTACAGCCACGTAAACGAAATCCAAATACTGTGCGCTCGATGAAGCAGAATCCCAATACATTTACACAAATGAATCTGTCGAGAAGCACGCTTTAAAGAGAGCAGCCACGCAACCGACCCCACTGCCATTTCCCCACTTGTAGACAAACATGAACGCCCAAACGTCAATCGAGTACCTCCAGATGATTTTATGTACTGAGGAAAGTTGCCAACACTGCGAACCAGGCCAAAACACTCCCAATCCCATTTCGGCTAGTTTGTTAGAGATAGGTTCTAGTTTGCTCCAAAAATTGCACATTCAACGCCATGATGATCCATAAGAATACAATCATCTCACGTGAAGAGGATAATCAGTATCAATGATGCGATTCCGACAAAGCTTTAGACTCCGCCTCGGATGCTGGAACAAGCCACTGCATATTTCGTTCTTATAATTAAAAAAAAAGTAGAGCCCAAAATGGGAAGCCAAGATGTGTGACATGAGATGAAAAACAAAGGATGAAGTAATTCTTGCACAATTTTTTAAATATTACACACTTTAATGATAGTATTATCGGGCCCTTGATATAAGACTGCAGGAGAATCCAATAGGCAATATGGAGCACGTCAAACCAACGTTGGTAAGAGGGCTAGGTGTTTGGCTAGTGAGGCCTGGTAAAGGCTGGCTGAGATAAAAATGAGGACTGAAGAACGCAGGTTGCCTTCGTCTGTGATGTACTTGCGGAGGTTCTCAAGCGTTGACGAGACCTTTTCCAGGAGTACCTAGAACATTAATGCCAAATAAGTGTAGGAATAGCTGGCGATCACCAATTTAGAGTAGAGATAAATTGCATTACATATAAATTAACATTATACGAAAATAAAAAATCCATTGGGAAATATTAGGACAAATACAAAAGTAACTAGTTAGAAACAACTGGTCCGGATTTAATCGAATAACTCTAGTCGGCACAAAATGGAAAATCGCCTATGCTAAAATCACGAAAGAGGCAGGTGGAGTAGTGCAGTGAGCAACTGACTACCAAGCAGACAGAATAATACAATAAGATATATTACCGTTGTGTTCACATTGTGGTGCCTCAAAGCCGAAAATAGAAGGTTAAGTACGAGTTGAACATCAAAGTACGGGTTAACTTCATTCGGTTCATAGCAAACATTTCTAAAACGCAAAATATCCATTTGTATGCACCTTTAGGTAAAGCAGTGAAATGGGCTTGAAAGGAACTGAGCGGCACGATGAGAAAGCTATAGTAAACGAAAACAAACAGTGGAAAGGTGCTCCCACATACATTGCACGATACTTGTGCAGAGTTTCAGCTCGGCCGACGATTGCGTCAAGTTGGGACTGGAGAGACTCAACTAACCAATCGACGGGTCTTGGAAGGAATGATGGAAGGCCGGAGAGGAGGAGGTTAGCTCCGCGTAACGGACAGACAGGATGGTGGAGGCCAAAGATACGAGCAACTGCTCGACCCATCACTTCGCGCACACCAGCGGACTCATCGAAAAGTCCGCAAAATAGTAAACGCATAATACTAAATTAGCAAAGAAGAAATAGGTAAACCAAACAGCAACTGCCGTTAACTCAGGGGAGAAATTAGATCATGTTGCAAGGGGAAGAAATACAAAGGCCCAACCTAGCTAATTGGGAGTCAGAAAAATCATCAACAGGAGCCCGATTACTGGAATCGAACCACACGAGAAGAGCCCGTGAAGCCTTCAATCTGGAATAGTCATTCGTCGGCGCTGCGGAAAGACAAAGGTCTAAGTGCTCCACCCACCAGGCGGTATATTTGCTAAAACAAACAAACAAAAAGCAGTGTACTTTCGAAATTTTTAATAAGAAACTGTATAGAAGGGAACTGGGTTAAGAAAATAATGTTCCCAGAAAGCTGCCTTGAAAATTTACTGGGATCATTACTAAGGCCGTAAACAAACTGACTTATCTAGTGAAATTACATGTTAGAATTTATATTAAACAAAAAGTTACGAATAAGGACCGAAACGAAAATGCAAAGGATTCTTGTTGATTCTCCAAATGAGGCGGCACAACTTACGAGCGTGCCTGCGCATCATCGAGATGGGTTATCGGAGAAGCGATAGCCAGAAGAATGCCCGGAAGGAGCAAAAGTTCCTGTGTCTCAGTGAGAGGCCAAGTAGTCAGCTTTTTGAGGCAGCCAATGACCAAGTCTTCGCTCTTGCGAACTATCATGCAGTCATCTAACGCAAGGCGCAGAAGGGTGAAGGAGAGAGCCTTTCCAGAGACAATTTCATCAAGACCAGGAGGAATCCCGCATTTAATGTTCGCCAGGAGGTGAACTAATAGTTTTTCATCCATGCAGTTGTTCGGACGCATGGAAAATATGGTATGCGATTCCAGAGGTAGGCGTTTAAAATTGTCAATTGTGCGGTAGAGATCGTAAAAGGCCGAGTGAAATGCGGGAAAGAGAGACTACGAGGAAAGTAGAAGAGATAAAAGACCATTACTAAGGAGTTGAACGTATTAGCTTGTGAGAGCATACACCAAAGAAGTAATACCTGATAAAGCAAATCACCTGAGCAATCTCTCCACTGATTGCCAGTACAGAGATAATGGAATTCCGCGTGAAAATGAGACTTTTCCATGGTAGGAATGTACATGAAAACGTAGCGCAACATTCTCGCCATTTGCGCTGCTAAGTACCAGTGTTCTGACCCAGGACGGGTCCATTTGTTGATGTACTTTATTGCACCGACCCAGTTAATGCATCTGAAGAAAAAAAAACCAGAGAAAAACAATTATTATTCTAGTAAATTAAAATGCCAATGTCGTACCTGCCCATAGCCTAACAGATCAAAGTATTTTAAGCCTAGAACAGCTTAGAGCGCAAACAAATGACTAAATCTACACAAAGTAGCGTCGAATGCAATGCGATCCCAATTGATTTGCTTTAGCAACTAGACATACGCAGATGTGTGATTGTATCCATCACTGCCCAGACAGATAACAAAAAAACATTGGACAAGAGTTTATTTAACCTCCAAAGGTAAACCGTTTCCTCATTGATAATACTTAAACCTAACGGCAACCCATATGTCATTGCTTACATTTTTGCGAAAACTAACCCAAATCTCAAGCACTTGTACCTTATCGACATTGGTCACTTCATTAAATTTTCACAATGTAAAGTAACAACTTTTACGATGGGAATTTGGCGTAAAAGGTCTAATTGTGACAAGACAACTCATAAAGCGTATTTCCTGCGTTGATTTTAAAGTTCGAGATCACTTTCGATCAACTGATAGGGTGAAAAGAGATCATAGAGCATAGAGCAACAGAGAATAATTTAATTATCAACCATCGATACGCATTTCTATAGCTACGCTACACTATAAAAACCTTTGATACTTGAAAAAATGTAAATGAAAGCAACCACATCTCATGGTTGCTGAGCAACGGCATCAGAGAGTAAACAAGAACTTGTCAGTATAAGGAAGCTACCTTACCATCAGTCACAAAATCCCTTATAATCCAATACAGAAACAGGCTTACCGGTGCCACCTGAGCACCCTTTAGTTGTTGGATCAGTGACAATCTATAACTAACAATGCTCAATAAACCCATACTAAAAGAATTGTGACGAAGACTTACGCCTCAATTTCGGAGTTTAGTAAAGCGCAGATCCAATGCGACTAATTTATTTTAAAAAGCAATGGTTATGATGTGGTCTTGAGTGGTTCCCCTTGGTAATGAGAAATGTTGAATTCAAACATCTATCAATACAAAATAACCAGGGCTGACGCACTTTGCACGTTCGGAGGCTTCGTCACTGGTGGACGCGCCTCGAAGCCAGGCCTCGAGAGCAAAAAGTTGACCACTGACGACGTTGCTCACACAGGTGCGGCACAAGAGGTCATCCACACTACAGGCTGTTTGGAAGATGCACCCGAGTCCTCCCGGAACAGCAAGGAGGGCGGCGTCCGCATAGGGTGTGGCGGCAGGCGTGAAAAAGGCGACGAACGCCTTGCCAGCCAGGTGGCGGATCTTCGCCACTCGGTGCGACAAATACTGCCGTAAGCAGTCGCGCATTTCCCTTTTACTCCCTTCACTAGATAGTTGGAAAAAGCAATGCCACCAAGTTAAGATGAATTAGGATGTCAAACTATTTCATTTAGTTCCCTGTAACATCTGCCACAAATTGTTCAAATGCACAAAAGTTGTCATGCTAAATATCTAAAGTGAGGCTGAGAAGCCTTCAATAATTTTATGATGAACGACAATACAATGCACGAAAAGGGAGATTGCGTACGGAAAAGCCGCATTAGGAGAAGGGCTAAGGCGTGAAAGGAGACTGAGAAGGGGGACTGCGGCGCTGCGGGCCAGCCTCTTGCCAGTGAGATCCACGGAAAAAGTGTTCAGAAAGGCTTTGAACAAAGAAGGATAGCGACCAAACACCTCCGCCACTGTCGTTGCCGGCCGTGAGTGCAGCGGACCGACTAGACGTTTCACTAACGCTCCTGAAATGGCAGTAATGCAGACTAACAAATATAACGGGGAATACCTAATTAGTAAACCAATCTTGCAGACCGACCTCTATAGAACAAGGTTTAAGTAAGTACAACTGCACAGAAGTTTTCGTAGACTGTTATCCTCTTTAAAGTGTTAATATATTCAAACAACAAAGAACTGCTGAGATAGACCAAAGTCACTGAAAATTCTTCATGACATTTCCAACATGATTACGCAACCCCGTAAAGACAGCAGCACCAAATGCAGGTTCTTCGGTTAATAGCTCAAGAATCTGCATTTACACACAAGAAAGTGGCCAAAGTACTGCAATATGGCTAGGAGATTTGTAAAAACTGGCATTGCTTGGTATAGATGCAGCCGGTTTAAACTGATAACCAGTTAGTATTGATCACGACTGCATTTGTAAAATAAGGCAAGCACCTTTATTCGACCCAGTCTCACGAACAGAACGTATATGGGGTAGAACAAATTATTAGGGATGGTACATCAGCCTCCCACACTATTTTCTCGCTTATCAAGCGCCTTACCATTCTAGGACTCAAACTACAGATTGCTCAATCTGCTATCACATGTTTTACGTATCGAACCAAAGTAGGGAGATGGTGAAAAGGGGCTTACCAAACAGCTGAAGGGAGGCGTTGGCAATGGTCCATTCTTCGGCTGTGAAGTTGGGCAGGGCCAGTCGGCAGACGATAGCTGTGAACCAATCGTCACTGCCAGGAGGTGGGGGTGAGGCAAAAGCCACAGGCCCCAATCGGGCGTCCTCGATGACGCCCTTTATGAGGTGCAACGCCAATGCCTGCGGTGGGTCGTGTTTTGTGGGATTCATTGACTCCGCAGTGTCCCTTGGTGTGCTGCCGAGCTCAAACATGGTACACAGCCATCGCTGGAGAAGGAGCTGTGCCAGTGGAAAATAAGTATCTGTCTTAACTGGCTCAAAGGAGAGGTGTGGAATAGAGTTGTACCTGGTCAGACGGGGAGACAAGCAACTCGGCCATGAGAGCCGCCTTGGCGGCTGGCCACAGTCCAGCTGCACGTCGAGTTACTGAAAACTTGCCTTCCTTGACAGCTAGCATGCAGACCCCAATCACCTGATCCGGTCGTATCAGTTTTTTACCAAGCTCACGTGCAAGTAAAGGCCGTTTCAGTGTAGCTCGCTGGTTCACGTATTCTGAGATTGTGAGATAATCCCGTAGGCTTTGGTGTACGGCTTCAACTATGCCCTTGCGAGAGAATGCATACACATGAAAAAAAGCAAATAAGCAAGACTTCCCAAATTACATACATTTTACGGCGACTTTATGAAGGTTAGACCTCACCTTGTGACGACATGTCATGAGAATGTAAATCAACTGTTTGCCTATCAATAATAAATATTGCTGTGATATCTCATCGAGTGGTTCGTCGCGAAGAAGAGCCAACGAGACACGAAAGCAAACCCACTTAACGAGGATGCTTGAGGTCACCTATAACGAGAAAAACATTACCAAAAAATTTTTGGTAAAACCTTTAAAATAGTCCAATCCCACAAAAGGATGTGTTGATACTCGGGAGAAAGCTCGATTGGCAGATCGGTAGAATCCATGAAGCTATAAATTCGGAAAATAGGTTAGCCATGATTTCAGAGTACCCTTCTGAATCGTCGAAAAATGCCGTTTTCTTCTGAGCTTGAAGTGCAAGGCCAGTGACGGCTCGGCCAAGGGCTTCAAAGGAAGATGTTTCACCTGAAATCGAGGCCAGAGGTGGGGTAGGGATAAAAAGTTGGATAATGAAGGAGTAGGAAGCAAAAAACCTACAGCCCGCAATCAAATGGGAGAGACTGGGCTCCTCAAAGAAAGAATGCGAGCATGGACACCCAATCATTGCGAGACATATGCTAGAGAGGTGGAGGCAGTACTCAGCCAATTGAGGACTGAGAAGGTCACCCAAACGATCTGAAGCGGTCAGGTCTTGAGGATTCTCAAGTATGGATTGCGGGAATTGAGCCCTGGTACCAGGTCTTTTACCGCACCAGGAGAAAACACCGTCAATAGCTGTCAAAAAACCTGCAGGGACAAGTATTGATAATGAATCCCTGTCGAAATAAAATGCAACAAGTAAATGGTGGTATTCTTTTTAAAAAGTAGAAGCATTAGTTTTTAAAGTGTATCACTTGCAAAAGGTTAGTGCTTTAAAATATAATATGCGTCGCCAGGGAAACATAACCAGCTACCAAAACTTAAGACTTAATTAAAAAAAAAACAATCATGACTTCACCCGAAGCATAAGCAGGAGAAATCGGGCTACGGGCAATAGAACCATTCGATTTCCGACCTGTTTGATGAAATAGAACTTCGCCATGGTTGCCATAAAATACCTAGATATGGTACGCTAACTTCCCGTCAAATGCTTGGAAAACTAAAATATAACTTCGTTTCATTATGTATGTCTTCAGAAGCAGGCCAGAGACAGAATCAAACTACTCTAGGGCGTATACAGAGAGTGAAAAGTTCTACCAGCACCATGAGATCTAAAACGCCCTATAAGCGTACTTGATATGCAGCGAGAATGACGTTAGGGGAAAGAACACACTTACCGTAGCTCGGTTTATCCAAGATTCGCTGCACTACTCGACTAGTCACCGTCTCAAACGAAACCTCCTCCAAAGCAGTCACACTCCTGCACAGATCCAAAATGTTTGCCAACAGGTCTGAGGCCAATCGATTGGCGGCATTTAGGTCGGTAACACTACAACGAAGCAAACAAAAAGTTAATCCATTCGAGCACCTTGTGTAACCATGTGCATGCATGCGGAGAGGCCTACGAGGTGAGCATCCACTGGAAGAGCGTCGCACCCGCAGAGTATACCTCAGGCAGGTGAATATCGGACCAAGTTTCGGCAAGTCTAAGCAGGTCAGAACGCACCTCCAAAGCTAGCCACTCCGGAGGCGACGTCTGCAGCCAGTATGTGGTGAGGATTTCCAAGAAAATGGCCTGAATCTGGCGCCAAAAGAATAAACACCCAAACCGAGTTTTAACAGAATGTGAGCACGATGGATTATAATAAATCCCTACGTAAACCAGGTGTCATAGATCTGACTGATAAAGTTCAACAATCTGATGGCACTAGCTTAAACAGTGATCGATGGCATCAGAACCAATCTGTTCAACGAATGCACAATGCAACTAAATAAAACTAGGATTTTAACCATAGTCATTCAAATAAAACTATATGCAAAGTAGTAAAGGGAACTTGAATGTCGTCTTGGAAACACCTCAGAGTTCACATTCGGTAAAGACGCTATCATCTGCATCCATGTATGGCGTTCGTTGAGAGAAGGGAAGCCAGAAATTTTGATGATGAGGCTCAGAATTTGTTGTAGATTTTTCGCTGTGCCTTAAAACGTAAAAAGTGGCTCAGAGGCTAAAAAATGCACTGATGACCAAACTTGACAGAATCAAGATTGGCTTTTTGACAGTAATAGCGTCACGCCTAGATGTTTTTGTGCTTTACGTATACACTTTTCTCAAAGGTAAGAGAACGGATTGTTTTTCGTCATAACGTAAAGCTCCTTGCATTTGAGGTGTACTTCAACGCCACAAAGTGGTCTCGACCGATAGTTCCATTACATATATTCGAAGTGGAAGTACGGTTTCTTAGCTTACATGGTTCGAGGCCGAAGCGCCTGAGACTTTTCTGCTCACCAAACTCAGTGAAGGACAGCTTGAACATATTACTGATTAGCATTCCCAGCATCTTTTGTCGCTGATATGGCATGCCGGGAGGAAGAATGGGTTGTGACAATAATTCTTTCAAAAAAGGCGTCAAATCGGATGAATGTGTTTCAGATGAAACATCGGGATTCATAGCATATCGTGACCATATAGAAGCCGCGAAATGATAAATGTCACCTAAAGAAAATGAAAATTCACATTTGAGGCGCTGCCCGAGTATCTAAAGTGGTCGAAAAGCATACCTAGTGTAGAATATGGTGAAAATACTCTGCATAACAGGAAATGAGAAAAGGTGCTCAACGCAGCATTACAGATGAATGCTCAAAAAATTAACTCCAGAACTTTGGTACCCAAAACTTGCAGATGAGACACCGCAGTAGTACCAAAAACTGGCTCCATGACATAAGGATATCCAATGACCCCAGAAGAGTGAGATATGACCAAAGCATCAGCCTCCTCGACACTAAAGGTGGAGCAACGATTGCGAACGTGCAAAGCCATCCCATAGAAGGCATGACTCGCCATATTGCGAGCGGTGGGGTCGGCAGACAACAGAAGGCTCGTGACCCCCTCAAAAACCCGGCGATAAAAGGTGGGCTTTGGCGCCTCCGCGACCGGAGCTCTGACAACCAGTTCCACGAGGGCCTTACACATCTCTGCCCGGATCCGATCACTACCATGTTGAAGTGCCACTTCTATGAGGCTAGGATGCTGCAAAAGTCAAGAGAAAAAAGGCGAGTGAGCACATTTTTCAACTTTCGTGAGCATGAACTTATAAGCGTAAATATCAGTTATTAATTAAAATATGTGTTCCTTAATATTGCAAAAAAGACCAACGTATGCGGCAAACTATGAAATGAAGCTGCATTAGGTAAAATTCGTCCGGCACGAGTTTCAAGTTTAGCTGAGTAACATATGAAGTATTGGGAAAAGATGTCAAGATAAGATTTTAAGCCAATCCGCACCAATTTTGACGATGAATCGCTTGACAGTATGATTTTGAATTGTCTCCTCGCTTGTGTTTCATGTCCAACTTACTTCCTCGATTATTTGAACGGCGACATTGAAAGGGAGGAGAGGAAGAAGAGCCACGAACACTCTGAGGCGATATTCGGTGAAGCAGCTTGTACAGGAGCTGGCCATCTCCAATAGGAGGACTAATTGGTGGACAATAGCCTGCACAAGAGGGACGTCTTCTGCCGATGGCAAGTTCTGTAGCTCATGGTAAAGGTCGCCGAGTGGGAGGTTCACAAGAGGGGGCTTGCAGCAGTGCAGAATGAAGTTATCGAGCCGCAACTTCTGTAACGAACATCCAATTAAGGCCACTAGAGGATAAAGTTAATCGCCGTTGGCATTGTCGATTGAGACAGTTATTGGAGCAGACGCAGTGTCGAGCAGAGACAGTCTATTTGAAATGTGAGCTGAAGGTTACTTCTACTGAGGTGGCAGTTACCGTCTTTTAAGAATTTATACAAAAACCATTTAAATAGCAGTAACATAGGCTTTGCTTCGAGCAAAGGAAAATTAGCACTTTTCGGAGATAACAATTTGCAGATCTTTTTATGAAATGACGTTCTGGTTCGACTTTACATCGCACAGGAATGGCTAGATAAGGCTGATTAAGCAGCCAAACATCGTAATGGTTACCAAGGCAATGAGTCTCAACCACTCAGCGAGAAAAGTATGTTAAGGTAAAAGACCAGGTAATAGAGAAAACTCACAGCAGCCGCGTGAACATCTGTTTCAGATAGACCCCTTAGCTGTTTCTCGACTGAACAAGGGAGAATACCGTGCATCAGAAAGTTGGCCAGCGGATTAAGTACACGCTCAAGCCAGTCATTGACGCTTTTCTGACTACAAATTATAAAACATTATTCTTACACTTTTAATGCTGACCAAGCAAGAACGAACCATGTATCAAAATAAACAGGTCTGGATTTAAAAAATGAAAGTTACCACTGCAGTATGATGCCCATGATAACGTCACCAGCACCAGCCGCACAATAGTTCCATGCCAAAGAAAGCAGAAGGCTTGTCATTAAATATGGAGATCTTTCAAAAATCTGAAAAACATTCAAAGTTGATAAGTCGCCATACATTACAAGAATCTTTTAAATGCATAATTTACAAATATATAATAAATACCCAGAGAACGACAAGACTGTTCTGCAAATTTGAAGATTTCGAAATGACTCTGTAGCTTTGTAAAAAGTTGATAACAAATATAGTCTGACTAAAAATGATATTATTAAAGTGAAGCACAACAGAACATAAAAAGTACGGAGTATGACCGCACGGTGATAAGTATCAGGTGTGCTCAAACTCACCCACGATAGGGGTGCATGAACCATTAGCGCCCCTATTAGTCTAATGGAGCCTTTCGTGAGGATAACTGGCTCCGTCATGGAATATGGGCTTCCAAGTACGCACCTTCCAATGAGATCCGAAGAAACCCAGTCAGCAAACGGTTTTGGAAGTCGATTTGTTGCAAAACGAAGCCCGAAAATATTGCCAAAATAGGTAGTAACCACTTCCAGTACTCGAGAGTCGTCTGAGTCCCAATGTGGCAATAAACGACGACAAGCAGTTCTCAAAAGATCCGATTCTTCTTCAGTAGCCTAAATATGCAAAAGCAGAAATCCCGAGGCATACCTCTTTGGCGTCTCTACTAAGCAGACGCTTCTTGATGTAAATGTTTAGAATCTCGATACATTCAACGAGAACATCCGAATTGGAAGAAAACAGATAGGAGTTGAGCACATCAAGCAATCCAGTTAGGTCAATGTCTCCGGGGCAGGAGGCCTCAACCATTCCTCCGAACAGGACCAGAGGCATACGATCGGACACAAGGCACAGTTCCAGGTCAAGCTTTTCGAGAAGGTGCGACATTAATGAGTTTGCTAGGACAGAACATTAAAAATCACTAAATACCATTAATGAGAGAGACAAATTCTTCCGGTTTGATAGGACTTTCCCATTTGAGACTGCAAAGAGCCAAAGATTGGCAGAATTTTCGTTGGCAAACAAGCGGGCAAGACTGCTAATATACAACGAAAGAAAACACCCTACATTCAGGAAACAGCGCTTTGCCAGAGAACACAAGGTGTTGTGGCATGAATAGGAATCGGAACGAAGAATGTTTTGGATAAATGTCTAACAAAATCTGTTAATGGTATCCAACGTTACATGAAGATCCTTTTTCAACAAGGTTTGTTGATCGATCCTCCCCATTAGTGCCTATAAATGTAAGAAATTGAAGCTGAAGAAAAAGGCGTATAGCTTTATTGAGGAGAGCCCAAGGAAAAGTGTGTTAATCGAACAGAGATTGTAGAGCAGTTTAAATGAGGAATGGCATACATGGAGAACAGTGATATGAGAACGCTAACGTAGGATAGGAGTTCGGATTTTCAAGATAGTAATATTATAGAATTGAACTCAGTTAAGAGCCTGGCTGCAAAAGAAAACGAAATTAACCAAAATTATCTACAAACGCCTCGACGACAACGACGATAGCCCTCGGACTTTAAAGTCACTTAAGAGTGGAATACCAACTGAGACTCATCTAACAGTATACACGTGGGAGCCAAATGCACAAATATCCATGAGTGTTAGTACAGAATACGAAATTAGAAATAAAACTTTAGGATGCGGTCGACATTAGAACACGCACACGACCTTGACGCATGTCCACAGATGATTCGTCTAATTTGACTTTATTATAAAAATATGAATTTGGCAATGTGGTTCTTATTGGTATTAATTAGCGCTAAAAACAAGATGACTTTCCCACTGCGGCATGCAAATTTCATCCCAAGTAGCCAAAAGGCAAGAGCGGTGCTGAATGACGTTAACGAATTAGACACCTACGAGCATTAAGTCTAGAATCATCAAAAAACTCCTTTTTAATTGCCTCATAAGAGAGGGCTTGAATTTGTTTTGGCATTGATGGCATGTACGTCCCTCACTGTTAACGCCCAAAACAATTTTATTTCTCCAGCATCTTTAAAACGTAGACTTGAGCTACATAAACCCAAACATTCGTCTTTATCTAGTGACCAAGTATTATTACATCACTTTAACCATAAGCCTTTGACTTGTATAATTTCTTCAACCTCCTTTTCATGCAAAACTATTTCTAATTGCACCAACTTGGGCAGCATATGAACAACCTTAATTGAAGTCACTTATTGAGTGTAGCACCTTGAGTACTTTCTGACGACGGAAGAAAGTCATAATACTAAGACAAAAAAGGTATTACTGACGTGCAGAACGGATGTGGAAAGAGCTCCCAGTACGGCTGGAAGTTCACGTCTCTTAATGGAATAACAAAAGCGGGGCCTAATGCGCCCCCCAAACCAAAACGTGGAGTTAGGCTAGTAATGAACAAAATATTACACAGCCCCTCCCTCGTTTTGAGTGTCGTCCCCTGCCCTCCCCTTGGCCAACCTTCCGCCTCGTCCATCACAATGTAGTCGGTGTTGTATGAAAGTCACCCACTAGCCAACCGCTCAAATTGTCGAATTTGCGTTCGCGACGAAAATATTTGATAGCTACGGTACTTATCCCTCCTGCCGTTTTTTTCTGGATCTGCAGTTTCATCCTATTTGAGAATTGCAGTAAAGGAAAAAGGAAGGGGTTAAAGCAATTTAGTGGAGATGATGTTTCGCATCTGTTCCTCCTTTTTTATGTTGTTCTCACATCAGTGGTATGTAGACCCACAAACCTTGCTTCCATCCAGCTAGTAGAGAAGTGAAAGAGGTATCGCGTGTTCACCTAATTGACATCTTTACATAGGTACTGTAGACAGTTCCGTAACGAACTTTCCCAGATGGTTCAAGGCTAGTGTGGCTTCAGATGTTACTAGCATTCCTGCAGAATACTAGACTGGGGTAATTGCCGAAGTTCGACGTCATTTTCAACCATTCTTTTAGGAGTCATCACGGATTCTCCCATCTGCAGTATATGCCTTTCTGCCTTCTTGTTAAAATTTAGTATCTAGGCATGGAAATCAGGATACTCATCAGCCATAATGAATGTAGTGCCCCTGATCTCTCTTGAAGATGGAAGAGGTCATGATGCTTGGGTTGAATATGCAATGCCTTCGTGCAAGAGGGCCAGAAGCTACTGCCATGGCCCGGAGACCATGTCACTCAGCGGAAGAAAAAAGGTCGACTCTTAAGTGTTTGCAAAGCCTCTATAACAGGCAAAAGGGTTTAAATTCTGTGGTTGTAAGGCTAGGATTTTATAGTGAGGAATAATCGGGTTACAAGTGAACCACTCCCAAAGTTCGGTCCTTTGTCTACCATTCAATCACAATGCCTTCGGTGTGAATGAATTTGCCACAAAGTAATTTTTGGTACTCCTATGACGGCGCTTTTGGTAAGCCTTTTCATAGGCAATTGTGCGCAATAGGCATCCCAGTCAACTATTTCCTCATAACGTATTAATGGATATCAGAAGTACAGCTCCTATTCACTGAAGAATGTATTAGGTCCCAAACATGAGCTTTATGCCTAACAGTCACTTTACAAAGCGCCTGTTTCCTTGCTGGATTGCTATTGCCTCATTTTATCTTGTTATTCTATTCGTTACCTTCAGCTTACTAAAATAAGTCTTTGGTGAAAAAGTAGTTTAAAACTTAAATCTAGCGACCCTGTGAAGGGATATTAGACCAAACTAACCATCCAAACAGCATGTTTGGTAATGGAAATAGAGACAGTTATTCGGATTACAACGTCGCCTTTCGGGTTTTCTCCAGCTTACTCGAGACAAAAGTTTTCGTAAGCGGATTAGGGTGAAACAAGTTGACGGGCATCAAAGCTATTGACTACCCACATCTCAACTTATTTTGAAACTGAAAAGTTCTTTGTACGTAGATTTTACCACAGATACTAGTGAGTCGCTGAACAAAGTAACGGTAACATTGTACTCACGATTTAACATAGCTTTTTCTCATCTGAATAAATGAAGAAGGGTTGGCAGACATCGTATTGGGTAAAGAGAAGAGTCGCTTCTGGTAGGCACATTCTGCGTTGTCTCTTTGCGAGTCGGTGCCTTAATCGAAGTTCATGGCTCTTGCAGTTTCCTGCCTCTTAATTCAGGTACCAGGGTGATAATATCTTCTGAGTTTATTGATATTTGCCTTGGCTTCAAATAACAGGCCTTTAAAGAGCACCCTTCTGGTCAAAGAGATTCCGATAGCAGAATATTGATGGCTTTTCTAGTAATTTTTGCCTCAATCCCTTAGGTCTCTATACCATTACGCATAATAATTTGGGTCACTGTACTGGTTTTGACATATCGTAGCAGTGTCGTTGTTTTTCTCTTCTAGTCCGATTTTCAGAAGCCTAAATCGTAAATACCTGTCAGCAAAAGATATCATTTACAGTAGTCACGTAGGATTTTACAAACAATCAACGTTTTCTGAGGTAATCAGGGTCTGTCTCCTCCTCGGAGAGTGGTGGCGTCTCCTCAATCACGGAGATGGCCCAACCTGGCCGCTTGCCACCTAAAAGGCGTATTTAAATATGCATGTATTATAATAGTATTACGATCGTATTGCTCTTATATCTGGACGAAGTCAAGGACTTTGAAGTAAGTTTTGAATACGAGTTCGAGTAATTAAAAAAGTTTTCTTGGGTACTTGTTTCAACGAGTAAACGAGTATGTTCTGTATTAGCAGAAAATACACGAGTCGTATAGGTAATTTGCTGTATAAAAGCAGGAATAAAAGTTTTACATCGCTTAAAACTTGATTTTCACATTTTGCAAGGAACACTTCATCAATTCGTTGTTCCGTTTTATTACACCATATTACTGTTTGCACCCCAAACTTAACGCAATAATTAAAATACTTTTGTGCAATTTTGAAGCAACCCTGATTGGATGATTTTGAAGCACACTGAGACTTCCCTGAAGACGGTAAGAGGTGCAATGCTATAGCAGGATATGTATTATAGAGGTACAGAATAGTTGGGAACCACTGGCGTGGCCTGGAGGCCATGTCACCCATCGGAAGTACGAGAGCGGAGCCTTAAGTGCCCGTGTGACCAAAAAGCAAAGTTAAACCAATAAAGTGTTACAATTTCAACAATTTATGAGCACAAGCACTTTTATCGGGTTGCATTTCGATTTGTCAGCAGAAGTGAATTGTCCCATCGAGTGCCTTCAATGCGGCTTGAACACACCCGCGCACTTTTAGCCCCCCATTCGCATGAATGAGTTTTTGAAAAGTACAATAAATGTGGAAAAGGGGACAATTCAGTGCACTCGGTGTGTTTGATTTATTTTAACTTTATCCTATCTCACCTGGCTATTAGGTCAAATGTTTTTCAAATGGAAGTCCGTTCCATGCAAAATTGTTTGCAAATATGGGGTCAAATTAACACTTATGCCTTAAACACTTCTGTTAGTTACTTTTAAGCCGTTAGATACTTTTTTAATCAAATATTTTACTGTGCGATAGTTTAATTCAACCTGCGAATAGTTCTTTTTTCTCGTCGAATTAAAAAAGAAAAAAAAGTTCGTCTTTTTTTCCGTGTTGTTTTACAAGCAGCAAAAGTGTCCCGGAAGTTCCGCCTCTTTCGAAACAACACAAAGCATGCGGTTTTGTAGGGCGAGACTCACAGGTCTCCTCCTCCCTGTTCCTAGTGTTCTTAGAACAACCCGCTTGATTTAATTTTGACATATTTATTGGGGGGAAATGATCGGGAGAATAAGTACAAAGTTTAGGGAGGGGAGAAACCGCAATCGCACTTTGGCACGGGAGACGACGACCCTGTCACTAGATTCGAATTACAACCTTGCCTGCTCCCTGAAAGGTACATTAAAACAACATAGGTATGACAGTATTGTCCTAAAGTGTGGATATTGAGTTTTCGCATAACTCTATGTTGAATTCAAATTTATGGAAATACTTACGCTTTTAAATTTATCAAATTGTAGAGCTACGAGGTGATTTGTATGATATTCTAGTCTCTTGCCAAATAATTATGTGTTTTACTTTACTCATTGGCGAAATGGGATGATCAAATTATTACTACAGTCCACTTGGTTAGTTCAGATTCGACAAACAAAATTAATTCTAAGTGGGTATTTTAGGTTTTGCCTTCATCAATCACATCCTTGAGTGGGTTTCTGACACCATGCTTATTTTCATCCAACTGGAAGCGCTTCGGATGAAATCTTATGGACGTGCCTCACGCTATGACTGCGCCAATATAAAAAGTTCCACGTGCGAAATAGCCTGTAGTATCCGGATTAAATAGAAATCACTTTGTGAAGAACCAGCGGCTGTAAGTTTACCTGCCCTTGAAAACTCATATTTATGCCTATGGTATACGTGGTGACCTTTTAAAGACAAGTAGACAAATGACACATTTGGGAAAGCAAAAAATAAAGTTGTATTGTGATTTTTACTAAGGGGGTATGAAGTAGACGAAATGTTTTCGTGGCCGTACTGCTACATAAAGTGGGCATACTGTATTCTGGATCCGTGAACTGTTCGAAGTAAAACGTCTTATGTACCAATTTACTGAAGGCAACCGTGTAACGATGAATAATGTTATTAAAAGTGACATTATATTGTGCATTAAAATCTCCCCGTGGAATGTTCCGTAAAAATATAAATACATTGGATATAGTTTGCACGAAAGACTAATTCACTTTAACATGCGCGAAATTGATGAAAATACAATACTTTTACGTCTATTCCAACTTGGCCAACTGATTTGAGAACTTGGGGAAGGCGTTGGGAATGTACACATTCTTATTTTATTCAACTCCTAACAGCGGAAAAGGCTGAATGAAGAAGTAGCATATCCTCATTACTATCTAGCTTGTTTAAGAAATTCTCCCCTTTAAGCAAAGCTTAAGGCGCATCTCAAAGTAAAACGAGTGAATAATTGTTTATTTTCACAGCCGACCAAATTTTAATAAACTTACTACAGGCCTTTCCACGAGAATATCTTTATTGCAAAATCCAGGAATTACAGGTGAGCCTCCCCAAACATTGTGCCTATCTTTTTAATGTGCATTGAAGGAAAAAAATGCCTTCTTTTGACGTCGCGGTGAATCAAGCCATGTAACTTTCAACCACATGGTATTTAATTGCCATTATAATAACACCTTTAAAGGCCTAAGTAATTTAGGGGGATAACAAGCAGCGCCTTCAAAATGCATACAAAATATGGCTTATGTTAATAAAGGGTATTTTAGACGTCAATAGGAAGCTTTGAATGTTAATTATTAGTCGCTTGACTAATAACAGACATAGTAGTAAACTTTTTTTTCGTTAAGCAGAGAAAGTAGGAAATTAATGTTAAATTACGAAAGACGTAGGAGCCAGACTTACGTCACAAAAGTAATATTCTTACAAAAGTCTAGATGATCACCACTATTCATGGCCGGCCTCTCAATATCATTTCATTAGCACAGAAGCTATTGCTAACCACCAAGATAAAGGTAAGGGCACAGTACTTCATTATTCGTTTGACTTATCCTGGACTTTCAGTTTCAAACAGAGACTAATAAAAATACGTAACTCAGATGCGTTTCCAAAAAGGCGCTATAGCTGGCTCAAGAAGTCTTTCTTTTGGTGCTGCAAATACCTGACATTTGACCGCTTGACTAAAATTCGCTGCAAAATACGCTATTGCTTTACGGCATGCAAAAATCCGATGTCATAACACCTAAAACACATAAAACGAATCAACACTGCTGTTTCTTAGGCAGACTACCCTCTTTTGGTTCACGAAACTTTTTCGTTGTCACCAATGTATTATGGGTAGAGTCACCACGTTAACTTATCCAAACGCCTAAAAGCGGATTCGGAAAACAGCATCTTCGAAACTGATGGTGAATGGAGATAAGGAACTACACTTAATTTCACGGTGATTGCATACAGCTGCTGCATGTCGAATTTTGTACCCTCGAATGGGTGATCTCTTTCATTATTACAAAAAATCTGGTAGAATCTAGCTTGCTTTTGTAGGATAATGAACGATGATTTGCAAGCGCCTTATTTTTTTGTCCCCAAAATGCAAATGACGTGTTAGAACTCACAAAGGTAGAAATTTTGCATTCAACCAGAGGTCTACAACGCATTAGCTGTATGGATGGTTGATTGCACTTATCCTAGCGGGAGATTGAGGACTGTAATTCTAAAATTGCTCGACTTCATTTCATCAATCATTTTAACCAAAGGGTGGACTGAAAGTTTAAAAAAGAGGCTTTTGATAAAATGGTTTAAGAGTGGCAAACTGTGAAAACCATGCCCAGTAAGAATTCGCGCGTTGAATATGTAAAGCAGAATCTTATCTTGTTGTCGATTATTAAATAAGTGAAAATCAGGATATAAAACGCTCCTACTATATAGCGAAAATACACCAACCCCACTATGAAAATACCTCTCCATTCCTTTCCTTACAAATGCGATTTATTATTTCCATTGTCCCGTTAACGTGTAACTTTTTTAGTAACCAAATCACCAGTGTAAAGGTCTGCTGTTTGTCTGACTATTATGAAAACGAATGATTACTTGGCATTGGCTCCTCATTTGGCACCATTTCACATAACCTTTTCCTTTCCCGGTGTAACAAGGGTCTTGTCGACTTGGCGAAACCCATTTCGTTGAAGTTCAGGCTTTGGGATCCCGTTAATTTCCAGTAGGTTGCGGGAAATGTTATCTAAATAGATGAAGTATGCACTTAAATTTACGCCTCCATTTCCTTCTACCGCCTTTGAGGAGATAAGCATTTGACTAAAGTAAATATGGCAGAACGTCGCGTAATTGTTCGAACCTGAGACTTCTCGTAGGTGACCAATCTCGGATTAATAAAATTTAAGCATACCAAAAACGGACATTCAGTGACCTAAGTTGGAAATTTCTAGTATTCCCTAAAATTACAAAAATTTGAAAAACAGCCCCAAAAAATTGAAAAAGCGCATCGATGTAAGAATTATTCTGGAAATTTTACGCTTATGTAAGCTGTTTGTTGAAAGGTGAAAATAATTACGAAATGAGAAGAACAATTTGCATATCTGTGTCAAAGTGCAAAATAGAAATCTCAAGGTGGGCTTGCTTTAAATGGTAAATTTGGTTGCAACCGCCTTTAGGATCTCAAGAGACTGCGCTTTTGTGAGGAGTCATTTACAATTGCAGCTTACAGGAGCCGCAGAGAAGGTTCAAGCACAGCATAAGATGCTGGCGATACGGTGAAACAGTGATTTCTATTCTTAGCTCTTTAAATTCTGTTGTGTGCTTATTTTCCTGCAAGATCGTAAACACCCCGTGGAAGATGCACAGTAAATTCTATCAAGCTTTAAGTTGCAAATAAGTGTGCTTGGGTAAGAAAGGGCTACTTAATTACTAAAAGCTGGAAATTCAAATTACTAGAATAATTTATCCAATAAGAAGGCAATAAATTGTTGCATTTTAAAGAAAATGAAAGACTAGTATGCGTGATCAGTTGGTGGAAATTACAAACAAAACACAGTAATCAAAACGTATTTACCTACATCTCATACTAGTGGCATTGAATTGCCCAGAAGGACCTCATGTTGTTAAGCGTAGGAGCTTAGTGAAGCGTTTCTTTAAACATTTTTTTCCAGTTTTGAAGCAAATTAAAAGTTCAGTGCTTTCCTCCTAAGCAAGGGGATAAAGCCTAGGAGCAATTATAGAGTCGAGCATTAGGCTTATAAACAAGTTAAACGCGTTCACACAATTTTTATGGTAAATGGCTCCAGAAATCAAATTTTTAATAAAGAAGCATTCTAAGGAATCAAACTGTGAGCAATGGATTGTAACTCGGTAAGGAAGGAGAAGATTCGAAAGCATCCCATCACTTCCAGTTTACCTATTCATTATAAAATAAGGTGATGCAATTTGTATTTTGGAGAAAGAAGATTTACTTTCTCCGGTGGACTGAAGAGGTTAACACATAGGCAGTAATTTCATGTTAGTATGTATGTCTATTTGAACGGTTTGAAATTTCTTCATCAGGTTGTAAATCAAACGTTGCATTAATTTTTCTCTCAAATAAATCTCCTCTTTTTAAGACGTTAAATTCATGAGGGCAAATTGTGCTGCTTTTAATTTGCATCTTACTAAAACGCTCTCAATCACTTGTGCCCTTTACGTCCACTAGCAGTGTAAGGAAATGTTTGGCATTTGTACTGAGTCAAAAAATCGGAAATGCCTGGGATTTTTCGCATAATATGCTGTAGCACCCCATCATTTCCCTAAAGATGATAGAAGACATGCCACTAGGTAATAAATTGTATTTCTGACGTAGAGAAGGACTGGGGGCCACTGGCATGGCTTAAACGCCACGCCGCTCAGTGAAGGGACAATTGTGGAGCCTAAAGTCCCCGCAAAATTGAAACGAAGGGTCAAACAAATCATCATAATTTTGCATTACTTAAGCTGACATCTTATGTGCCGCCAATACTGTAAGAGGCGTCTACAAACACAGACCTCTGTACGCTTTGGGAACATAGGCTTAGTAGAAGATCCAGCAAAGTTACTGCATCAGCAAAGTGAGAGTATCACTTAGCACCAAAACAGTTACAGTTAACATGACATCCGTTTCCCACCTTCCAATATTACCAGCGGTTAAAAGCAAACCCCCAAGATGAGGCCCTCTAGCTGCAATCTTGATTTCAGTAGACAGCAATTTGTCAGGCAGTCTTGCCATTGTCGAGGTCCATTTATCTCGTCTACTTTTTCGTTATTTTAATGGGGCTGAAATGGTAAACCTTTTTAAAAAATAACTGAAATCTAGCATCCGCTCTTTGCAAGCTCAGTTGCTTTTAACAAATGGCAAATCGTCACGATCTCTTTGTGCTGGACAATCCTTATCTGATTTCTAGTAGTAATTTTCATCTGATGGAAGAAATCACTTAAATGATTTGTTTGACAAATAACTTCATTCACGTGATTACAGTAGCCACTTATTTCCTAACCGATTAGGGTAAATAATTTGACACCAACTCGTGCCAGGAATATTTAGTTTGGCAGCTGTGCGCATCCTGATAGTCACCAGTGCCACAGAATACCACTCACAATGGTAAGACGACAAACGCGTATTTTTTACCTCGAGGAGGAAGGAAAGTGCTAAGATAGTAAAAACAGCGCACCTAGAGACGGGAGTGCGTTAAGCAGTGTACGCCAAAGCACCATGACAAGCCAATTTTATGGCCGCATTATCCGCAAATTTATCAACTTAAACCGTAGGATTAAGGGTAAATTGGGAAAGAGATGGAGCTCAAGCACAAAGATGATTGCGGGGAATATATCCATTTTATTGAAAGTAGCATCCAGCCATTTATCCATCAAATGTTTACTATGCTTGGCCTCCATATGAGATGTTGAAATTTTCAAAAATGTTGGTACTTTCAGCCCTTTTGTTCGTTTGAACTTAAGTTGTTCCAATGCACTGGCATTTAATTCAATGAATCATATTCCGTTTTGCCTCAGATTTCTTATTTTGGGAATCTGACTATCACTGACAATAAATTATTCATACACAGGGATAATAAAGAACCTGAAGCTTGTAATTCTATCGCGTTGTCTGAACTCTGGATTTCAGTGCCACAAAGTGTGCCAGTTGGATTATATGAATAGTTTAATGCAGCGATTGGATATTGAACTGGGAATTCCTTAAATTCTAACTTACTTTAAAAGAAAGCACCAGTAGGTTATCATTTCATTTTTCCTCCTGAAACCTGAGTTTCCTCAATAAGTTGCTTATCGAAAAATATTAACTGAATGGTCTTAGCTCAGACTCACTGAGCTGTTTAAAGAGACCCAGGAAGAAAGATGCAGCTCAACAGATACCTTCATTTATATTGGCTTAAATCATTAATGTCCTAAGCCACCGTATAACGGTACAAATGGTAATTAATAAATTAGGTTCTTATCGTGTGTCAGTGCTTATTTTTTAATGTTAAATACCTCTACTATTTTGGGAAAAGAAATGAGTTTCTGCAAGAATTTTTGGAATTAATTAACTGGCATTATTTAAAGGCTTTCAAGGGTAGTATGGGTTCAAAAAGTCGCCAAATTTGACAGCCCTAGCACATTAATTGTACTAAGTTTTAGTGCTGTTGCATTAAGATAAAACTCTTGAAGGCTACTTGAAGCTAGTAACAGGCTATTTGAACCGCAAGTCGACATGGCTGCACAAGCGTCTGAGTTTAAAACCCATTGTTGAAGACATTGAAATGCTGATAAACTATGCTAAGAAACAATGAATAAGGTACGTCTGATGTCGTATTTATGGTAAGTTAGTTCCAGTGTCTTATAGCTCAGTATCGCCTGAATGTGGCTATGCTTCTGCTTTTTCCTCTTGACACAAAATTGTTACTTTAATATATCCTGCGCACACTTAAGACGTTGTAGTAAAATAGAAATTGGCTTTCTTGTTTGTAAATACCAATTTCAAAGTGGAGATAGCATATCTGTTTGTGCCTGAAGGCTACTTTACATTCGCTTTCGTTGGGGTACCACCACGCCCGACGTTAATAAATTGGAATGAATATTTAAGAAGGTCACATATTCGCCATCACCATTAATGTTTGTGCGCGGTGAAGAAGCATGTACAAAGAATCAGGCAAAAATAACTAACATAACAATTTTTCACGCCATAATAATTGATGATATGCCTTTTACTTATTTATACTGTGGATTAAATAGCAATCCTGGTAATCTTGAAATAAGTTATTGATATGAAGTTTTCTCATAACTTCGGTAAATTATGCTTCCAACACATAACTAAACGATACCTTTTCTTAAAACAAGATTTTTAAGTGGTGTTACTTTGATCACGTTGTAGGTGCTTTGGTCGACACTGTGCCCACCACATGGTTGTGTAAACACCGCTATTAGAATGCGATTCCCGCGTCTCCCCCTAGTGACGCAGGCATGCAGCTGGTAACCCCAAGTACCGATCTGAATGTTCATTGGTTAATCATACTGACCAATAAGCTTAAGGCATGAGCGTGGTGTGACACAATCAGACCTGGCGAACACGCTTCGCACATGCATGACTACATGAGCGTGGTGCCCACTTGCCCTTGACTACCACCTTGAGCCCAAGTGATGGACACGCGGATAATCGACGGAATCGCCAACTCAAGCGCCTCAGTCGGAGAGGACAGGTCCTGCCCGGACGACGACTTCGTTGATCGAGTGAACCACACGTACACCATGAACCTCCTCATGTTCTTCACCGCGATTGTCCTCTCTCGCCAGCTGGTGGGCAAACCAATTAGCTGCTGGATTCCGAATGATTTCACAGGCGCACAAGGCGAGTACGCTGAGACGGTGTGCTGGGTCACCTCCACCTACTTCATCCCTCCTGCACAGGCCACTGTGCCCATTGAGGAGGATATCCGATACGAAAAGAAAATTTACTACTATCAATGGGTCCCCTTCATTCTAATGATTCAGGCGGCTCTATTTGTTCTCCCCTGCATTGTTTGGCGACTTTTCAATACCCAATCAAGAATTAATGTGAGTACCCTGAACCGCATTGTCCGATCAACGTGATTCAAATAAGGTAGTACCAAGTGCGAATGTCCGCTCTGCAAAAAATCTTGGCAACTAATTCGACATTGCGACATCACAGTGCATATCCGCTGTCGTAGTGATAGTCGTTTTTGATAAGTGAAGTATTTTTTTGCTCTAAACGGCCATTGTGCAATAATATGCCCAAGCCAAACCTATTACTTAATAAATGTTTTAATCATGCATAGGTATGCAGTAAAAACATTGCCATTCATTATACCTATTTAAAATACATAAAAAATTGTGGAATCTGTGATTCACCTGGCTCACAGAAAATTCTAAAATGTGAAGTACTTTTGTCATAAATCATTTAATTAAAAACTTAATCTCCTCAACATGTAATCCTCACAATTTACGGGTACACTGAATTAATTGAATTTTAAACCGATTCCTTAAACTCTGCGATTGGCAGTTTCTTGTTCAACCTCTATTCTCAGCCTGCAGGAGAAATACCATGCAAATGTGGGCGTCTAGTTTATTGTTATTTCGCTTTGGTTACTGATGGGCTATTGGACACAGTGGCGAACAGCTATAAGACCACTGCGTAGATTGACTGAAAATGGTCGGAACTTGTCGTAAAATGCACACTTCGAGGCCTTGGGTGTGTAATATACTATGATGTAGAAGTCGAAAAATTGTATGGCAATCCATTCCTAACACTTAAAACATTGTCATTCTAAATGACTGTAGAAATCCGGTTGGATTATGCGTTGATAATCCTAATTAATCTTCCAAACAGTCAAAAAAGTTGTTTTTGCATTCTAAGGCTCCGAAGGAGTCTTTTTTTGCAGTTAAATGCTTTACTCAGGTCATTTTGATAAACATATATTGGAATCTAACGTCACATACAAAAGCTTGTTTTGAATGGGGTATTTATCAGTTAATAAGGTGAATCCAGGTTTCCTTATTTCATGCCCATACGCTACAGGATAGGTCAAAAGAACTGCAGCTCATCCACTTTGTCAAAACTGCAGATTGATGCCAAACTCCATTCATTTCTAACGACACTAGGATATCAGAGTGTTCCAAATGTGATAATTTCAGCCGAAACCCTGAGCCTTCTTTCCACACAGTTTAACCTTTGCTGGGGAGGCAGACTGCACTTTAAGATTACCTTGAGTGCTGCAGACTGAGGCAATAAAAGTGCGATCTGTTTGGCCTCTGGCGTTCCTTCGGGTCAGTATGAATTTCACCCCAAAGGTGACATTTTTAATATGTGGGTCTTCGATGGGCAATATTTTAATCGTGCATTTTGTCTATTTAGTCTATGAACTCTGCGACCCTTGAATGCAAGTATTAGCTAATTTTGTCATTCTTCCAAAGTTCTATACCATAACTTTAAAGCACTAAATAGGCTTTAACTCTGACTGCAAGAGTTTTTTATTTATGAAGGCACACTGGTAGTGGTGAATCACTTTGCATGTGGTCGCACCTTCAAAATTTCGCCTAGTTCCCTTCGTGAGAGCAGTGTCATTGGAGAATGGGACAGCATCAATTCTATGAGGAATTCATTGAAAATTTTGTGTTATATCATAATGGAGAAGTAATTTGCAGTCAAAAGCACTAACTCCTTTACTCCTCCATCTCAATGAGATGAAAATACCAGAGAATGCATAAACAATGAATGCTTAAATCACAATTGTCTTCTTAATCCTGGCATCATGATATTTTTACTGGATGCCTCGTTAACGAGTCCACAGGTTCATAATCGCACTCACAGTGTGTTCACTTCCGCAGTATGATACAGTGCAGCGAAATTCACCTATTTGTGGTGTATTTTAGACGAAAATTAACAGGTAAAATCTAGCAGATGGAGCGTGTTTTACACAAAGATGTTTCGAAATTGGATGGCGATTTTCTTAAACCATCCCGGAAAGGACCTCCTTAATTTCGATCCATTGCTAAAACCCCGCTTAACCAGCTCCTACTAGTGACCTTAAATGTCCTTTGATAGGTTCCATATTTAGTAATGTCTTTCAGAGTGACCTTATTACTCAATATTTGTCAATATGTATTCAAATAAATTCGTCATGCAAATTATAAAGAATGCCCAGAATAATAAGAAATACTAACTGTTAACGCCACTTTTCTATTGAACCATGAATTCACAAAAGAGGTTTACAGGAACACTCTCCATTCTCCGATAGTTATTTTTATTCAGTGCACGTTTTGCTATGTTAATATCATCATTCTTCGGTATTCCACTTACTCCTTTATTCTTTTAAGCTATTTTGTTCTTGAGTATTATTGTGGCAAAATCCTATCCCTGAAGCAGGCTATTCTTCTGCAGGAATCTATCAGTATGAATCTCAAGACTACAACCTCCAAATAGGTCTCAGATGGCAATCCGTTACACAACTTTGATATCCCTAACATTACCCTATATCACTGTTAGTAGCCATCATAATAAATAGGCATTATCCCTTTTTAATAGCCTGAGAAGCCGTTGGGATTTGGTGATGTTATTCTTTCTATTTGGCCACTATCACAAAATAAAATTAAAGAAAACTTTTCAAAGTGGTGGCAACTTTTTGCCTCTAAAGCGTCGTGGTAGGTGTGCATTGAAATTCAGCTTCTATTAACCTACATCATAGCAAAATGATAAACGCTTAATGTCATTTTTCGTTATAGCATCGGTTGAAGAACTATCTGGTTCAACTGGTGCCGAAGGTCTGTAGCATAAATTTACTCGACAAATAAATTATTTGGAGCAAACGAATACCACATTTACATCATCGAATAGGTGTTTAGGTACCCGTTGATGTAAAATTGTAATAAAACAGGATTTTTATGGGTAAGAATGCTGTTAACGTGAAACTTAACTTTCTGATCCCCAGTGAGATTATTCCCTTGCGGTTCGTAGGCTCACTTAACTCGCTTGGATAATTGCGGAATGCATGCATTTGCTCTCCAGTGACCATCAGAAAAAGCCGGCATCTTTTCCATCCCATTTTAAAAAGTTTAATTTCTTCCTCATTTCAGAGTACCAGCTGTAGTACATTTCCGACACTTTCAAATGTCATGGGATTTCCGCTTCACCCAATTGCGTGGTCGGGAATGTTCTACAATCGTTCACATGGAGCCCTAAGAGTGAATATCTCAGAAACCCAAAAATTCTATCCTCCATCTCTACATATTAAATCACTTGATTAAAATACTAAATATCGAAGAATTATTCGCAATCCTATCATGGCACACTGTTAGAGGCAGTGGGTGCTTTAATGAACATCTGGGAGAGCTGCTGGTTGAACTTGTGCCCCTGCTATGATTAATGGGTGGTTTTTAGAAACAAACTAGGCTCTAGCGCAAAAATCAGCTTTGTCTACTTTTGTTGGTGTTCCACAGGTATATTTTCACCACCACAATAAACAAGAGAGAATTGTAGTTAATTTAATCGAAATTTGCCAATTTTATGTGAGGCCTGAGCTATGCCTGAGCGAATCTACTTGAGATATCGTTTACTTTAAATAGAAATGCAGAATAGTATTTTTGACGCACGATTTATTCGAGTAATGGCAGTTAACTTTATAACGACACGAGACAAATAATAGAGTTTTTTCTTTCAGCTGAGAACCGTGATGGAGGTGTCAAGTGATCTGAAAAACCTGAATGACTCCCTGGACCAGCGGCGTGACCTGATCAACTGTCTGGTTCGTCACTTGGAGGATGCCCTAGCGATCCGCCACTTTCGTCGACAGCGACGAGGCAAAAAGACGAGGGCCACGGACCAGCACCACTATGGTAAGGGCTGGTCTCAGCTCAACACTACTGGAAGCAAAACGGACGAGAGGAGTGGGATGGGTAGACGGCGATTTAGTACGCCCGTTGTACCTCTCGCCTTCTCTAAACAGGCCCGGGTGCCCGGGCCCCGACCCTGCATGCCCACTTCTTCCACCTACCTCTCTGGCCTGTACCTCGCTATAAAGGTCCTTTATCTGGCCAATTCAACCACTCAACTTATTCTCACGGGAAAGTATGTTTTACCGGCATTCTCACACATTAACATGTCCAGTTCGTCTGTACGTGTGCGAGATGGCAATGATTTTGACCTATTTATGCTCATTCAACATCGTACGAAGGCTTGTTTTATTTGAATTGAATTTTTCTCCACTGCATAAAAATGTTGTTTATTTTCCAGGTACTGTACATTGCGATTCCCTTCATAGTGTCCATAGGTTGAGAGATCACTCCTTTCCCTACTAAAAGCATTTCTTTTGTCCAACTGTCTGTGTGGATTGTGCAAATTTCTAAATTTACTGGTACAATCATTCTTGGTATTATAACTATTCCACCCAAAACTAGTAAAAAAATTCAGATTTTGACTAGTTTTAGCTGACCTAAATTACTTCCTCTTTAAGGGTAACTGTGGCATTATATTTGAAGGATTTTTCAAATTGCCTGTAAACATGTTTATCCCATAGAACTCCAGATTTTGGTTATTTACAGAAAAAGAATTGCTGTCAGGTTTGTAAACTGGGTACAGAGACTAGGTAAAGCCTTACTGTTCAGTTAATTCAATTATTCTTTCCATAAATATCTATGCTCAAGGCCGGGTCATTCCCCAGAAAATTCTTTTTTCCTACGAACGATCAGAATGGCGTCAAAAAGTCATTTTTATCGAAAATATATTTATTGCATTATTCAAGGGCTGGAAAACAGGTTACCTCGACTTTAAATTGTGTTGATTTATGGCAAAGCTCTTGTATTCGCACATTCATTTTATTTTAATTAACTAGAATGCACTGTCTGTAAGATTGGCATGAAATTTAGCACCTACACACGTCTTCACGCAATCATTTCTGCCAACTTCTTAACATCTGTCACCTTTAAGATTTTATAAAACTAGAAGATGCTGTTTGGAAGTGATTGCATTATCAAACTTACTAATAATTCCATAAAATCCGTTTGATTTTGGGTCCCTTTAGACAGATAGTCGCTTGGCACAACCCTTACACCATGACTTACTTCAGATATCCACTTTAAAGACCATGCTTTAAAATAACAGGAGCATGTGCTTTTGGCCTCCGTTAACTTATTTCTCATCTAGTTTTAGTGTTTTTGTTCATTTATGGTGAACAAAAATCAGTTTTAATGTTCTTTTTGAAGAATTCAGTGGATCTGTTTTAGTCCCTCCACTTTCTGATGGGCAGTATTTCTTGTTTATAGCTTCGTCTCAGTTTCTCTTTGACCGGAAATTGATTTTAAGTGTCACAAAGGTATCTTCTCCCGAATTTACCGGCAGACATAAGGGACTCGGACACGCATGATTATATAGAGGGGAAATTTTGTTAGGTTCTCATAATCTTACATCGCAATTATCCACTAGCAATAAGGATTTTTTATCCATAGGTCGAGGTATTCCGCAAGCGAGGCCTTATACACGAACAGAGTCCTAGCCGCTACTTAGTTAACGAGCTTATTGGTGCTTCAACAAGTTTTTAAGTTCCGTGTTGATTCTGCCATCTTTGCTGCTTTGTAAACACACCAAAAGCCCTTAGCGATCCTCATATGTTCCATGGATACGTAATTTAGCCCTTATTGTGATCGAACAATAGAGTACACAATGCTAGTCCTCTCTGCCCTCGCCTTATCTACTCGGATTTATTTGCAAATGGGCCTAGAACAGGGTTTTAAGATTGTATGAAAGTTTATTTTCTTGGAATATATTTTAGTGACTACTAAGTCTGTTTATCTGAATCTGCACGCTTAAATTTTCCCATCCGATGTAAGAATAATCCCAGTGGGTTTTGTTTACTGGCACTGAAGGACTAATTGCTTCCGGGAGGATATTCAGCAAACAGTTTTTGAAAATTCACACTTGAGGAAAAATGCTATTTTTGACGCGAAATTATTTAGAGGAAATATTTTGCCAAAAGTGTGAAGATAAAATGTTTTTCAAATGAAATACAGCCCTATCAAGGAAATCAGAGGTGTCATACGCTCGCGTGTAGGGTCGTAACAATTTGAGCCTACCTTTTCAAAGGATATTTATCTTTTTTTTCTCAAAATTGTATTTACTTTAAGGATAAATAAGAATTCCCATCTAGTGCAAATCCCAATGATTTTGTTTGGTCTGTGCTTAAGGCTGCACTTACGCATCCACTGGCAGGGAGAACGTGACCCACGTGCTCCATCTGTTGACGGAGGGAGTCGTGTCTTGGCGTTTGAATGCGTTAAAGATGGAACAGCCTATACGCCTGGGAGAGAGTAACACCTGCAACCTATAAGTGAAGGCTCAAGAAAGCAGTGGGAAGGCTTGACACGTGTTTATTCACCCCTCGCTAGCACCAGCTCCAAAAAGTAGGGTGAGCTTAAGGCGATAATATCGCGCTACCTCAGAATGCGAGCAAATATGGATAATACCGTTTCCCAATGTGTTCGTGTCAGCTACGTCGCCTGGACTTAACTGAAGTTGACGAATAGATATAATACATTTCATAGTGGTACTTTGCTATTTGAATTTTACAAATCGCTTGTAACAATATGGAGACACTCATTAACACCAACATGAATACTGTGGCTCAGTGTAAATCCTTAATTATTAGCACGTAAACGTGCTAATGTGTATCCCAACCTCTAGCCTTTGAGAGTGTTTAAAATAACTGAAAATCAAAAACTGTCTTCCTTTTGGCACTTTAAAGATCAGCTTTAATGGGTCAAAACTATCACTAAAAGTTGTTGGTTTATTTCTGGTGTATCGGCGTCTCGAACCAAAATTATTGTTTAAGTAAATACTACTATTTCTCTCCCCAATCATCAAACAATGAACTATCTGTATACACGTTTCTTTGACTATTTTCGTTGATAAGAGTTTCAAAAGGATCCATGTCCGATGCAGATTTCAATATTTATGCAAATATGAGATGCAACAAATATGCGGAATCTGAATTTCCAACAGGGAGGTATTCACTACTATGCAATGTAAGGCACCTCGGTGGTTACTTTTTCCGTGCTTCGCTCCTGACTGTTAGTTCGATAACACTAAGATGAAGCTTGACTTGAAGACAGATTGATCAGAATATACTCTGAGGCGTTAACAAAATTAAATCTGCTCCCAGTTCGAACACTTATATTAAATGTCTTCATTCACTAGACTTTTGCTATTCTTCTTGGTTTGTACAAATAAATATAATGGAACTGGTATCGTACCTTTTGAAAGGAAACCTAGTTTATACTGACAACGTTATACTTTTACGTTAAACAGCTTCCAGTCAGCAGACGCATTTGGCCTAGCACACAGCTAGCCTCTGTCTCTCCTGGAGGCTTTGATTTTCAGTGTACCCAACTGAGCCACATTCGGCTTGGTCGATTCAAGGTTACCCATTTTATGCACACACTTCCCCTAGAATTGCTTCGGCCAATCGCAGGAGTGTTATTTGTGTAGTTTTTTTCCAATTTCACCATTGATTCCCTTGCGTTGCCCTACTACCCCATTCCCACCTGTTTACTTAGTTTACTGAACCCATAAGAAATTGGAAAGTTTAACGAGTGTACAGAGTTAACATAAATGAGTGTTAATGAACACTCCTTCGGTATATTGGTGAGTTTGCTATGATATTACTAGCGGGAGTTAAAGACAATTGTAAAGCTTTAAATGGGTTGTTGAGGATTTATTGAGGTTTTGGAAATTTTTCTACGCTTTTAACAGTGCTTCTTTTTCATTGATGTGGCCGCACATATGCATGTACATGTCCTTCTCAAATGGCAGGAGGTACACCCTTAATTTTGTGTTTATATTTAAATGTAAATTCAAAAAGATGTAGAGCTATAAGGAAAATTGTGATTTGTTCATAACGTAGACTAGATGGTCCGAGATGTTTCGGTGATCAGTCCTTTACGATTCAAGTTTGACTGAAAGTTGCTGCAGTCATTTGTATGATAATGGAATAGATCTATTTAAACAAATGCAGAGGCTCTTCAGTCCGGAAATCTAAATACCGTCTTTGGTGCATTTTTAATATCGACTTGGCGTAGAAATGCCTTGTCACTTGTTTTTTATGAACCTTCCGAATTGCAGACAACTGATGTATGATATGCATTCCCGCGTATCAATCCCAGAGGATTTGTTCAATCACAATTTTACCATATCTCACATTTACAAAATATAAAATCTTGCGTGGGTATCATATCAAAGCCGTGTGTGCACTTCCTCAATCAAACTAATAGCTGTCACTTCTAGATTGCGGCGTTGCACATACATGGGACATACGAAAGCATTAACTTTACTTGAGCTTCCTCATAACTATTCCACATTTACAAATGGTCCAAATACGAAGAGCAGTAGAGTTAGGTGAATCAGACATCCAGTGTCGCTGTAGCATTTTCAGGCTAACGTTAAAACGATTTTTATTCCTGTCACTGTTCGACGACACCGAGGACGCGCTCCCACCGACCTACTGCTGTGGGGAGCCTGGCCATTGGCGAACGGATGCACTGCCGTTCCCCGCTGGGGCTCACGCCCCTTACCCCCCCGCCCTCCAGTTTGTGTTGCTGCGCCGTTATCTGCTGCTAGGGCCCTGACACTGTGAAAACTGTTAACTTAGGCTAGCTCCTAGTAAAAAAACTTCTTCACATATTGTTTCATTTCTAATAAGGGTGCTTGCTGTTATGTGTTCTTTGCATTGGAAAATCCTTCTGTATCTTAATAATAAGAGTTAAAACATTGAACAGTTTTGCTGTAGTACACGTTTAACTAGTGCCAACTTGTTGCACAAATAGTAGTTTTTTTGTCCTCTTAGTTAGTAAATGCCAGAGACTATGAAAAAACGGAGTATTATCTTGCCCCTATTCTTGATCATCTTTGCTAATTTTTCTGTGTAAAAGCCATTTTTCGACTGGCATTTTGCGGTTGAAATTAGTATTAATCCCACTCCTCGTCGCTCCAAGAAGGGTTTACTTTTTTGCACTAAAAGGTAGTAATTCACGTAAATGGTTAATTTTGTTTTAACTGTTCTTGCCATACTCAGGGAGTCATTTTTGTATTTCAGGTGATTTGCTTTATCAGTTATTTCTTTTTTATAATCATGGTCCAATAATTATACAACCTTCACTTCAGCTACTAAGACCCCAAATCAAATTCAAGCCTATTTTGGATTTCCTAATTAAAAATTGCGGGGAGTATACAGCGAAGATTAGTTAAAGTTGGTTATTTTCGCTACTAGCAGCAATGCGGGTAGATCAAGCTGTTGCAACCTTTAAAGCATCCACGCCGGTCTCTCAAAAGGTTTTCCTGCTTAGTAGAAAAAAGTTGAATTGCAGGCAAAATTTGCAAGGGTCTTCTGTATGTGCAAATCAATTTAATAAATGAGCCTAAAATGAACAAGAAATGAGTGAGCGTGGAAAATCTTGTTTTTAATTGGTACATATTCTCAATATTGTAAGAAGCAGACAATTCTTTGATGTAAAATGTATGTTTTTATTCAATTTCACGAAAAATTTAGAGGACATTTTATCAGTTGTAACAAACACAGAGCCATCAAATGACAAAAGTGTGATAAGCTATGAGCGGAACCTGAATTTCGACGGTGTTCAGTGTGCCTCAAGGAGAAGCAACAGTCTGCGCCTGTTATTAACGGATCAACTCCTACAATAATTCAACTTTAACGCGCAGTCAGATTTAGCCTAACAGGTTTCTCTGAACACGCTGAACCTAATAATAAACTTCTGGAATCATAAAAATCCAGGAAATGCGGTTATGCTAGGCGAAATCAGCATTCAGATGTGCTGCTGCGTCCTGGAGGACAGTCAGTCGCCTTTCGAGAGTACCGGTTCTTCACTTTAGATGTTGCTGCAAAATTTTTTTGTTTTGCTTACCTGTTCCTGGTGGTAACAATCCTCTTTCTCGAAGCGTACTTTCTTTGGCGTGTTACAATTTGTCAAAGCATAAGTTGACCCTTTTAAGCAAAATTCCAGCAGCATTTCCTGCAAGGAACACTTCAGTATATTTGACCACATATTCCCCATTCGGAATTGGGGAATAAATCTTTCTGTAAATGGACATCTACAGGGGGTGAATAATCCACTAGGGCTAATTTAAGCACTTCTTACCCATCAGTGCATAAATTTAGAGGATATTAGCTTGGCTTTTGAATTAAGAAATATGATTTTGTATTTTAAGAGGCAGGGAATAAATGGATTTCACAAAGCATTTGACAAAGGGATTATATAAACCATAATTCAGGAACTCTAATCATCTTCATTTCTAAATATCTAGATGTTGAAAGGAACTGTGTACGACGCAAGAAAATGCCAAAAGGGATTGGTAAATTAATTCCTCTGAACCCACAGAGTGGAAACAGAGCTAGTGCTAACATTGCTTTCCATCATAGCATCTCAGAAAAATTATCGGTTTGCCGTTCTCACGTCTAGTGCGACTTTCTCTTGCACAGTGGATAAAAGCAAAAAAGTAAAAAACTTTTCATTATGGTTACTTCGCTTTCGTTAGGGAACTAAAATCAATGACAATGTCTCTTCCTCATCAGTAGGAAGCCTTGAAGTGGATAAAGACATGTTTCTATTTTTTCTTAACTGTTCCGATAAGCATCGGTCTCAGTGTATGGGCGTTAAGGTTTGCAATCCAGGTAATGTGTGGTTTGTGGAGCTTCCCCTGTGCGTTATGCCAAGGTACTTGAACGGCGAGGCCTTCATCTTTGGGATTGACAAGCTACGTGACCTGATGAACACGCGGTTTTGGAACCAGACGGGCTCCTTCCCGCGCGTCGCCCTGTGCGATTTCGAGCTGCGTCGTATGGGCAGCAACCAGCACCGTTACACCATCCAATGCGTCCTCCGCATCAACATCTTTAACGAAAAAATCTACATTTTCCTCTGGTTTTGGTTCTTCCTCATCTCTGTCCTTAATCTTCTCAGTTTTCTTCGGTGGTGCTATAAGTGAGTACTGCCCTTCTACTTTCATTCTAACTTTGCATTGAATGCCCGCCATCTTCTTGCATTCATTAATATTCTTATCTATTTCTCCTTAAAAATCCAATCAAAAATGAATATGTAACAAAAGAGTGAAATAAATCATTGTGCTTCGTCTTTGACTGAAGCAGAATACTACATTACAAAGTTAGGAAGTCACAGGTGTAACGGTAACCTTAATATCAAAACCCTAAGTTGCATTCTAGGCCAATTACACCCTTGACTATTTGCGTACATTCACCCTCTATACCTCATTACTAGAGTCACTTGGCTAAGCAAGGTAATCCGTTAAGATTTATCTAGAAGCCACTCAATCACTGAGAGTAGCTTGACAAGCCCTGACAGTGGGAGCTATGCTCTTTTTACAGTGGCTTGTTGATGTAACACTTCATTGCTACATCTTTTTATAACTGGTTAATGTGTGTTTATTGTCCGTAGAATGAGCCTACTATTTGCGTCGGGACATAGGGAACATAAAAGCGTTTAGTTAAAAGCCTTAATAATCCGCTTAAAATCCCTACAGATGTTGGAACAGTTAGTCTAGGGGGAAATTAAAGTGGATAATTACATGCATCGACCGTGGAATTAGGCGATAGGGCTACTTTAAACAGTAACAAGATTCCTTAGCGAATGAGATTTCACTTTTAAGCCAACGTGCGATACTATGAAACAATTTCTGGTTCGGGTAGCTTGCAGATAAGTTTGAATGAGTGGTGCAAAATGCTGAACAAAGGCACTCAAATATTGCTTGTGAATGGTTTATCGTTATTATGAGCATCTTTAAAGTGTTGCTTGGATTTTTACTTAACTAAAAAATAAGTACACTAGCACAAACACATATTAAAAAAACTCTTGGTAATGTTTAAATCAAAGCAAAGATTATTCTAACTTTAAATTTTGTATTTTTGCTTATTTTCACAGACTTCTGCTGAGTTCAGCAAGAGTACTTTTTATCAGGAATCTCATTTGCATTTACTTCAATATCGCCGCTGCCAAATCACAGCTTCCATTCAAGGCTCCATTTGAAGATGAGGACAAGGAGAAGCAGCAATGTCAGCTCTCAATCGCTGATATCTTTAAGACTAGGGATGATTTACAGGCCTCCTGGGTATTCTCCGAGGATATTCTTGGTCAGGACGGAGTACTTTTACTGCGCTTTATCAACATGAATGTAGGGCCATCATCTGCAGCTGAATTGGCTGGTGTGATTTGGATTAAGTATCGAAAAACCGCAGCTTTGGTCAACGGAACCACCTCCTCAGGAGTTGAAGATTTTGTGCTTACCAATATAGCTGCAAACGAGATCGAAAGACCACCGGCCATCCCTCCCAAACGGCGTAGACTTCCTATGCAAGGGAAGAAAAAGAAGCCTACTATTATGCCTCTGTCTGCATTCATTTATCGTAGTAGGCATATCGAGGACAATGACAGTGACAAATCCACCGATTCATCACGCCCAACAATCGAAATGTTGCAGGAACGCAGGCGATATCGTCCAATGAGTCGAAAACGAGGTAATTACTTCTCCGACGATGACGATGAGAACGATCAAATGTCCGTCGTTCACGAGAACTATTGTCCTGAGGATTTTTTGGATAATCATGACATACCTGAAACTGAAGGTGGACAGGATCCGGAGGATCTTGCGTCGGAGTACCGATCATTTACAACTATTAGATGAACATTTTATGTACAAAATGTTCGTTATAAACCAAAGATAAGCCATTGATAGGCATAAATATTATAGCTTTATTTACATTAGATAAGTCCATTAATTGTAACGCATAAGTGAACTTTAGTCTCGCCAAAATTGCATCTGTGAAACCACGAAATTTAGCTATTGTCGTCGCTGTGATACCCGTATTTAAGAACAACAAATTAGAGAAAGGCTCGTAGGTATCGAATGCGACACAATGAGGATTTGTTTTTAAATGAATTCTATTGGCTTTGGCATTTGATTTTCAGAGATGCATTATGTGCCTTAAAGTAGTATCTACGACCATTTTGCTTAAATGAATACTAAGTCGCTTCACAGTTCGGCATTTCTGCAATTCTTAAACCACATTGTTGTCCATTTCATTTAAAATGACTTTTTTACTTGTTATTAGTTGGATTTCATCGGCAATTATTTACAATCTTGGAGTTAAAAGATCCGTAAAACTATTCAAAACTACAAATAGTTTTCTCGACCATATTCTACTTTAGCGAAGCTTTTCAAAAAGTAAGGTTTTTTTCCATCGCACATCTTAGTCAATGCGGAAGCTAATCCAAAGTTAGTAAATGCTCATGTCTACCTGAATAAAACACCGTGTTGTTTGTCGAACGCGAAGAACTCGTTTTTGATTAGGTGGCAGGTACACCACTAACGTCTGGCTGCAGATGCCCACCCACATGGTGGCGTGCACATACCTTAGGTTTTGTGGAATTTTACAGGCAGACGTTGAGGAATATCACAGCCTTTGAATACAGATATTTATGCCCCCAACTTCAGTCACCTCCTCGTTTTCCACATCCTCGTGGCATTATGCCCCATTTAGTGATTCATCTCACTCCGCTAAGCTTCCTGCAGCTCTAGTAGGAACTTATGTGAAGCATGTTTTAATGACTCTCGCATTGATAAGACAGTTCTACCCAACACTGCCAACAGCTAGAGCACTTTAAAAGTTAAAACGACAATTTTAACTTCCATTTATCTGCGGTTGATAATCACTGCTTGATTTGCATTTACGGTTGTTTGACTGAACCTCCATACACTTCTGCGTGTGAAATACGTAATTTTTCCCTTGGAATGGAGAAAATGCGATGTGCATTCCTTCTGGTGGAAGTCGCCAAAAACGGCTTTGTTGATAAAAACCGGCAGAAATTTAACCAATTTGCCTGCAACAAAAGAACTTTTAGATCCTTAATAAGTAGAATTTCATTTAAAAATGAAGTTACTTCTACTGTATTTACAAGAAAGTCTATAATATAAGACGATTTGGTGGGATTTGACAAAACACTTATACTAGAGCCTCAATTTTGTCCCCAGGCTGGATAAAGTTCGCTGAAATTTTCTTTAACTCGCAGGCAATTAAGATTGAGTAAGTGGATTACAGTTTGCTTCGTGCAAAGTATGGTTGAGTGGGAAACCCGTGAGTCTCCCACGTTGGCAAGGATTAGTTACGGGTGGCTATTAGAGGCGTTATTGCTAGCATAAATATGAATTCATCCAGTCAACACACTTGGTCATTTCAGAGACCGTTAGTGCACAGCCGCAAACCGTTCTACCCTGCCATCTGCATCAGGAACTTAACCTGGGAACACATTGCAGCTTTCTTTTAGTTACAAGCTTAAAGTGATCGAGCTTTTTTATAACTTACCTTTCCTCACATATCAGTGTCTTTTAAAGTGTTTATTTGAAGAGCAAATTTGTTTTATTCGGTTTGACACAAAGGTAGAGAACAGAGCTTCTTTCTAATATCTAAATTTCTTAAAACATTGTGGCTTAGGCTGAGTAATTAATAGTTCGTAATCGGAGTCTCTTATTTACCCATTTACATTTTTACAAACAAGTTATTTAAATCCAGCCTATAGCATTAATAACGCTTTTTTGTCGGCAGTCGATAAACAACCATTGGAAGCCACGCTTTACTTATGTAATTTGAGTAACAAAATTTTTTAGCATCTGCTCTAGCACCAATTAAATTCGTTTAACAGGCCAAAATATGATCGTCCCCGCTAATAATGCGACTTTTTTAAATTTCGATACAAATAATAAAGAAAGTGGTAGTATTGTGTGAATTTAAGTATGCATTGGGGAAAGGCCAGCATTTTGCTTAAGATCTTTGATGAATTTTTGTGGTCTACGCTGCTTGGAAGTGTAACTGTAAGTCTAGTTTTAATTTTCCATTGTTTCTTACCAAGCACATCCATAGGCCTTTACGCAAAATCAGCTATCTTACATTTGAATAACATTTGTCCCTGGGATAGAAGAGAAAGTCGTCTGTCACTTATTATGGTTAAATTTGTTTCAATAAATAAATGAAATTTGTGCAGTTGATAATTTTTCTGTCGAAGCGGTCACCGTTCTCTGGTTTTTATAGCTACAGCAATGCTAGCCTAACTGTTGTAGTTTTAATGGTCTTCTGAGCCAGCATGAGATAAAAAGTCTCA